GCGTTTGGCGAAAACAGTTGATTGAGCCGAGAAACGCGTACATGTGTTCATGCACGTAAATCTGTGCATGTATATATAATATGTCCAGAATATGACTTGGAATGCTATGAACGAAAACCGCGTTTAGGCAGAAATATACGCCGGCAATTTTTAATGACTATCGCGGCAGGAGCTCGGCCCCACGGTTCACTTCGAACTTCGAACCGTCCCGTCCGCAAAGGGCTAGATAGACCATAGTTACATTCTATACGCACTAACACCTACTTCGCGGCGTGCTGTCGAATTATATGTATAGAAAAAAAAATAGCTATACAAGCTTTGCCTATGTTCGGCTGTCCAAAGGTTGACATGTTCAAAAAAATCTTTTAATTTTGCGCCGCCCCCGAAAAGGTTGAAATGTATTTAATATACTACCTAACGAGTAAATAGGTTTAATTCATATCTGTGACGTAATTGTATGATTCAGAGAAATAGAAATTACTTCATTAGGAAATAGAAATTATTTTATACTTTTTAGTGCATTTCGAAGTCGGTGTATTTTTTTTCCGAAAATTATTTTATTATACAGAAGAAAGAAAGTGCGTGCAATAAGTTGAGTAAGAGGTTAGTTGAATTATTTGGGAAGATTTGTAATTGAAATATGGAAAAGATAAACCAAAGGGAAATGAGTCTTACAAGTAGTATGGAGGATATGGACAGGGAAAAGAGTATAACGGACAAAGAAATGGAAAGGGATGTCGGCAAAGGAAAGTCCCTTGTGGGGAAATTAGAGAACTGGAATGTGGAGTCCTTGAAAGAGGATGAAGAGGAAGTATTGAAGTCGCTGGAAGTAAATGAGGTGTTAAATAAGGAAAGTGGTGAAGATAAAGAAGTTAATAATGAAGATAATGAAGTAAAGGAGACAATGGGGAAGGGAGAAGAAACATGGAAGGTAATGTGGAGTGGAGTAGATAGAAAGAGAGGTAGAGATCTAGAGGTAGAAGAGGAAGAGTTAAGGGAGAAAGAGAAAAAGGAAGGTGGCGAAACAGAGGAGAGTGAAAGTTCTGAAAGTATAAGTTCTGAAAGTATAAGTTCTAAAAGTATAAGTTCTGAAAGTATAGAGGAAGAAGAGGAAGCAGGAATGACGCTGATGTCAAAAAATGGGCAGGAAAGAAAGGAAGGAGAGGAAAGAGGAGATAGAAATGGACAAAGATTTTGTCACAGGTACGATGAAAGTGATAATAACACTGAGTTCATAGTGGGATTGTTTTTGAAGAGTGAGCATGTTGCCAAATTTAAGAAAATGAACCTCATAAAGATATATAGATTCGTGCAGAGAACTGGTTTGAGAATAGAGTCAATCAGGATGGTTGGCTTTAGTAAAGCGGAAGTGACATTTCGGACGAGGGAGGATGCGAATAAAATGTTACAGGACTATGAAAGAAGTGAGGGTATCGTGGGGGTATTTTTACCAATAAGGAAGAGGTTCAGAAAGGGTGTGATTAGAGATTGGTTGGGGACAATGGAAGAATTACAAGAGGAAGCAATGCCAGGTCAGGGGGAATATGTGTTGGAGAGATTGAAAAGGAAGTCTAGAGAGAAAAGGAGAGGTAGAAAAGGAGTAGTTGGGGAGCCACTTTTGATAATATTTAGAGGAGATGCATTGCCAGTATCTCTGCTAATCGGACAGGGTCATGTGGGGGTAAGAATATGGCCATACGTTGAACAAGTAAAGCAGTGTTATAGATGCTGGCGTTTTGGACATATCATGAAGTTTTGCAAGGGGAGGAAGAGATTATGTGGAAAGTGTGGCGAAGATTTTCATGGTAAGTGTGAAAAGGAGGCCAAATGTGTTAATTGCAAAGGAAATCATGCAGCGAATGAAGACAAAAAGTGTTGGATGTTTCAAAAAGAGTATGCCATAAGGAAGGTTATGGCATACAAAAATGTTGAATTTGAGACTGCAAAGGAGGTGATTGAAAGGGCTGCAGGTATAGAAAGTGTAAGAGGGAGAAGGATGAGAGGAGTGCAGATGAGGGAAGTACAGAATTGCCTGGGCTGCGGCAGAAGAAGATTGTGAATGCCTGGGAAAAGAGAGAAGTCCCAATAGGAGGAGAGATGGAGAAGATTAGAAAAGGAATTGGATTAGACAGTAAAAAGGTGATATATAGTAGTGTTGTGGGGGGAGTAAAGGAGAGGTATGGGGGTAAGAGGACTGAGGAAGGTGAAGGAGGTTGATCGAAGGTAGTAGGTGGAGTTCGGCCAAAACTAATAGATGGAAGGAAAAAACAAGAGGAAGAAAGAAGAGACAGGGTGCATGAAAATAGGTTTGTACTTTGGAGTGAGGGGGGGAAAGGAGGAAAGTGTTAGAAGCGATGAAGGAAGTGTAGAGGGAGTAAAGGAGGTGAATATGCAGGAAGTACAAGAAGGAAGTGAGAGAATGGAGAAAGGTAGAAGGACAAGAAGGAGGAAATAGGAAGTATTTGAAGGGGAAACCAGGTAAACTGAGTAAGAAGGAGGAGGATAAGTTGATGAAGGAACTCATAAAATTGATAAATGAGAAAAATTTTGAAGGATGTTATTTTGAGATTAAAAAACATTTGGATTTAAAAGCAAGGTTTTTTAAGAAGGCGCTGTTTGTCGTGGAAGATGACAGGAAGGTGGAGACTACAGAACCTTGGGATGTACAGTGCGAGGTGAGGCAAGTGGAAAAGATAAGGAGGGAAGCAGTGAGAGAGAGGAGGGAATATGAGGAGCAAGAGAAGGAGAAGAGAAAATTAAATGAAATGTGGGAGGAGAGCGAGAGGCTGAGAAAAGAGAATTGGATGAAAGCAAGAAGGGAAAAGAAGGTGAAGGAAGAAGAAGATAGATAAACGGAAAATGTGTAAAGACTCTAAGGTGTGTGATATGGGTGATGAGTGGTAAAGTGTGAATGTGATGTGTGAGTGTGATGTGGGAGAGTGCAAAAGATTAAGATTAAAGGGAGAAAGGAAGAAAACTGTAAACAATATGCTAAAGAAGCCATGTTTAGAAAATTGGAATGGATCAGAGAAGGAGAAAGATCGGTAGAGGTTTATACGGATGGATCGAAGATGAAGGATAAAGAATTAGGAGGGGCAGCAGTGGTCATCAAGAGAGGCAACGAGGAATGAGAAGAGATGGGACGAGATGCTTTGCAGTGATGAGAGGAGTGTTCTATTTTTACAGTAGAGGCGTGGGCTGTTTGGAAGGCATTGGAGCTACTGGAACAAGATGTCAGGGAGAATGCTAATTGGTACCTTTTTAAGACAATGTAAAATAGAATTATGAGACTCGAATAGACAGTGTTTAGCGTGTATGAGTGTGGTAGAATAGGAATGTATGTGGGAGCGTGGAGTGAGGTTGAAAGGTTGTAAGGAAAATATGGAGGCTGAAAATAGGTTTGTATGCATGAATGGATAGATGGCGTGGTTATAAGTTTTTAGGCTAAAATTGTTTTTTGTAACGGCAAGTTAGGAGAAAATGTCTCCTAGATGCCTTTTTCGATATAAGAAAACAAATAAATAAATAGAAAAACAGAAAACACGTGCTCAAATCACATGAATCAGCGGTGGGAGTACGATTTCAACGCAATATTCCGAAACACGCATGTGCACAGTGTGCAAGTATAGCAGTCGGCGAATGTGCATTTACCGATAATTTATTTGTAATAGATATTTTGTAATTTCTCTGTAACACATGCATAGCTATTTTTTTGTAATACATATGCCTTTCTTTTTCAACTTTCAATGGTGTAAAATTAATGTAAATGTTTGGAACGTTAAGTTAATATTAGCAATATACAGAAAATGTACAAGCAAATGAATTTCTAATTATTAGAGATTGGCATAATCTATTTAAAGGGGGGTAGGCTGTTCGCGCTTGCACGCTTTCTCCACTCTTTACGAGTGGCGTTATGGGTACTCCCACAAACGCGCGAAATACAACAATGAAATATACTACAAATAATATTTACTTTTGCCATTTTAGACATAAGATAAAAATTTTGTTTTTAAAGCATAAACAGTATGTAAATAAAACTGGATTCTTTTAGAAGATGACTATTTACTAAATAACTATACCAAACATATAGTGAACTACTAGTTTATTTTTTTCCTGAATTAGACAAATTACTTATAACTCATAAATTAACTGACGGAATCAAATATTTATTTTTATGTAAAGTATTTAAGAATACAAAACTAATGTTTTATGCATTATAAATAAAAATTTTATTATTTATAAAAGTCCAAGACTTCTTTCAACAACAGCATGCGGTTGACCCATCTCTTCTCTAAATTCAGGAATATTTAATATATCTTCAAACCTAAATATGTAAAAAATACAATATAATATAAATTAGTGTACAAGTAATGTATAACTGATACATATGTATTATAACTATTAAGTATATATACATATAAAGTATAGAATAGTTAAGTTTACCCTATTTCTTCATCTCGTCCAAGTAAAACATCTCTCATCATGTTTGATGATGGTAGAAATGGAAGTCTACCAATTTTTTCAGTGGCTTTTAATTCCATTGCCATGCGCATTGGAGCATGTAATCCTTGCGTGTTTCTGAGCAATATCATGTTTGTGCGTATACGATTTTTTTCATACTAAAATGTACATATAAGTTAATGATTAATTAACACAATTATAATGATTATATTAAAATTAATTATTTACATTTTTTTCAGATGCTTCTAAGGGATGTGAGTAACCAATGTTCTGTCTAATTGCACCTAATCTGAAAAATGTTTAATATTTGTAATCAAAAGTAATCTGTGACTTCAAAACTGATAAGAACTATTGATATAAGAAATGTATATAATCTCTAATGACACTGTTTAGCAAAGTAATTATACCCAGAAATCATAGGATTTGGTACACCATAGTTGTCATCACGAATGTTGAATTGGTCATTGATAGTAGGTTTTGGAAGAACCGTTGGTAGACCAAAACTCTGAAAATTATTATTTTAACATTACTTGAGTATACAAATATATGTCAAATTTTGACTATTCAATATTTTGTTATCTGAGTTGAAAAAGATATTATTGTGTGTATATATTAGAACATAACCTATTTCTGAAACAGTCTACCAGAAAAGTACTAAAATATTTAAGTTTTTGAATTAGTTTTAAATGAAAAAGTATTAAAACTGATGTTGTGTATTACCATTGTTTATTAGATGTATTTCAAGTTTTTACTCAAAGTAAAAGTCACTTTACAAGAACTCACAATATTAAATGCAATTGTTCATAAACTCATCGAAATATAACTTGTCATTTCACATGTGCAAGTCAGGTGTAAAGTCATAAACCATGTTTAACATAGAGGGAATATGAAATAGTATGTTATAAAACGGAACTATGTCATGAATATTCTCAGTTTATTTTACATATATATATATATTCAGTCTATAAATTTTATATTAATAATCCTTTTCAAATATTTGTTTAAAACGTTAAAGTACTTTTTATAATAAATAATAATTTAGGAGAATATGCTTCGTATAATTAATTGTTTATAACAATTTCATTTTTACTATTAAAGTGTAATTTCATAATTGAAACAAGTGGAAACGTAAATGAATTATGTAATTTTCAAATCAAATTGAATCGTAATTCATCTAATATGAAATTGTGAATGGTTTAGTGCTCCGATTGCTTTCATATGTATTTGACATATATAAAAATATTTAACATTTTACAAAAAAAAATAAGGACATATTAAGAAAATTAGAAAAATGACAGAATACTTCGTTAATCTAACGAAATATTGTATATGTAATTCGTTATATTCGTCAACGGTCTACTGCTTTATCGATAAAACAATACAGTGAATACAAGCTATACCTTCGTCTTCGATATCCGCAAATTTGTTAATTTTTATGAAATTATAGAGTAATTAGTTTAAAAGAAGTAACAAAATGGATTTAAAAACTAGGAGAATGTCTTTACGCGACTCGTTCATGGGAGTATTATCAAGAAGATCTTTAGTTCCGAGAAGGGTAAGTAAATAACGTATTTGTAGCAAATGTTATATTTAATTTTTTATTTGTGCGAACGTAAATAAACAGCAACATATACGCGGGACAATACTAATGCAAGATAAAAGTTTTTTATTCTTGGCGTTTTTTTTACGAATCTTTTAACATATTTGTGATATTTTTCTGATTAAAACGAGACTAAACATGACGTAATTCGAAACATACATATTTATTTAGAATTCCAAGCGTTTCACTTATATCCAGTACTTTATAGCGATAATTGTATTTCGAATTGTGTCACGTTTGGGCTCATTTTAATCAGGAAAACGTCATAAATATGTTGGTATAAATTGAATAAGAAAAGGACTACAAAAATTTATTGGTATTATAAATAATGACTACCACAGTTAAAATTACTCTTTTTCACATACTATCCTTCTCTGTATTCGGAACTTATTATCAATTAAACCAGTAAATATAGATGATATGCATAAACTAGTATGTATTTATAGTCCAAATTATATTATATTTGGTCTCATTTTTATTAAAAAAATGGAAAAGAGTCAGTTTGCAAAAGTTCGATAAAAAAAAAATAAAAAGTAAAGGAAGTTTATACTTGCATTGGTATTATCTCACGGATATAGTTGTACCCGTATTACATTACACTTTTCAACGAACTGCTTGGTGTTTTGAGGGGTGGGTATAATTTTCTTGCTTATATCGTGTCGATCGTTTTCGCTTATACCGTATAGATAATTTTCGCTTATATCGAAACTTTACTGTAATCATATTAAAAGATTTGTTTGAATTTAAACGTAATATATAGGGTGTTTCTAATCTGATAGTATAATTAGTATATTCGAAATAATTTTTTTTTTTAAATAAAACCTAATTGAAGAAAACGTTGAACAAACTGATTTTAACGATTCCAAATTATTAAATAATTATTGATATTCATGTGCAGACTAATAGACTGAAAGGGATTCGGCTTTTCCATTCCGCAGTTAGGCGTGTTTTGTTATACGTGGAATGGCTAACTGAAGTAGAACCTACGGAAGAAATTGGTGACGAAGTTGCAATTAATATTAGACTTGCTCAAGCGAAGAAAATCGAGAAGAAAGCACTTACTGTGCAGGTACAGAACTGCATAATCTATTTATCATCGAAGCAAAGAATAAAAAATATATTTTAAATCGTAGGATCGTTCTGTGCTGTTAACGAAACCAGAAGATCGAACACAGGCTGACAGAACTTATATATTCGAATTATTTAAAAGGTTTAGAGTATTCCAAAAATATCCAGAACATTTACAAGAAATTCTAGCTGGGATTTGCCATTATCAATATTTACCACCGAATCGGACAATAGTGCGTCAAGGTCACAAAGCTGTAAATCTTTATTTCATTCTGAACGGAGAGGTCAGTGCATCGAGGGTGGTCACCGATCGTTGGACTAGTACGTCAAATATAACAATAAAATATTTATGTTAAATATCGCCGAATACTATATAAATTTATATCGTTTTTATTCTCAATTTACACATGTTTATAAATATTTGAGCGATTTAAAATTATTCGCGTTTGAGTTATATAATTAATCACGTTTAAAATTATATCAGTACCGTCATTAGTATCGAGCAAAGAGGGATTTGCATTTATGGGGTCCCATAAATTAAGTTGTAAGGCGAAGTGGGGTAAGTGCAGACTAACTTTTGTAAAGTTGGTATTTAAATGTAAGTATTTTCAGTCTGCTATGTAAATACTTAACGCTGTCGATATCGAACACTTTGCACAATTACTATTATTTAATTAATATTAACTAGGATCTTAATTTTCCTTGTACATTTTGATTTTGTTATTTAATTAATATTAACTAGGATAATTAATATTAACTAGGATCTTAATTTTCCTTGTACATTTTGATTTTGATAGGAAATTGTTTAAAATGTCAACTACTCTGTACTTTCCCCGAAAATGAGGTAAGAGCGCAACTTGAAGTTAAATACTTTGAAACTTTATTTCATGTGCAATGGGGCAAGAGTAGAATTATTAATAAATTTGCTATAAAATGCTTTTTACTGCATTATGCAAGAACTTTATACTGCAAACAAGTACTCTTAGCTGAAATATAAAAGAGGATATAGGAAACAAACATACTAAATGGAGAAATTTCGCTTATATTGTAATAAAAATAGCCTGTATACGCACTTGCCCCGTTCACGAACTTACCCCACTTCACCTTATCGTTACTCGAGCTTAGGGTATACTGTTGTGGTCATAGTAACTCACTTATTATTCTATTGAACCTTTTAGAAAGAAGAAATTATATGTTTTGTTCTATAATGTAATTAATAATAATTTTGTTGCTAGGCATAATCAAGTATTTTCAAATGTTCATTTTCTACATAAATGTATTGAAAACTTTATCTATTCCAGAGGAATTACAGACAATTGACATGGGTACCTTGAATCCGGGAGATATTTTCGGCGAAATTGCATTATTACACAGATTACTAAGATCAGCGACGGTAGTTTCAAACAGTATGTACCGCTTAATAATATGAATATTCATCTCGTTAGATTATCAAAAGTATTATAATTATTTCTTGGAATTCAACAAAAAATTTATTTTTTAAATAAACGAAACTTTTATACCCATTTGTAGCTACGGTGGAATTAATTTTAATTAACAACGAAGATTTCGACGATATTTTACGACCCACTTTGCTAACTGAATGGAACAAATTGCAAGACGCGTTAATTCATTTTAATTACTTCAAAGGCTGGGATGAGGAAACTATACGAGAATGTTGTATTCTTAGTAGAATAAAAGAATTTCCGACTGATGAGGTATAAAATAAAAAATTAATTTACATATTTTGTGTAAGATTTTTGAAATCTGTTTCTAGTTATTTTTTCATAGGTCATTTCATAGTATGAATATAATACAATTTTAACATTTTAATATTTTTAAATATTTCAATATTTTTGATAGAATTTTTAAGAAATGATATACCCACAATTTTATTTGATAAACCACCTTAACTAGCCATTTTATAATTGTCTTTAAAAGAATAATTATCTTTCAATTATTATTCATAATTTATGTTACTTTAAATGATATTATTGTTTTTAAGTAGTATTATTATGAATTATATTATTGTTCCTAAATAATATTATTCTAAATTATATAATTGTTTCTAGATAACTTTGTATACAGATATTTTTGAAAGAAGAATTGTATTGAAGCAGATTGAATGAAGAAAATAATTATTTAAGGTTTTACTAGGTGACGGTAAAGGGATGGTGAACTTCGTGCACTTTCTGTTAGAAGGAGAATGCCAATTAATAGAGCATATCATTGTCCATGAACAAGAATCGACACACGGAATGCACTATGAATTATACGACCCTCAAAAGTTTGCTTCGCAAGGAGAAGCGAAAAGGTCGTCCAGAAGTATGGAATCTGTAGAGCAAAAACTTGATGAGCTGGCATATGAACATGAATCTACGCGAGTATAGTTTTTTTTATATCATAAAAAACAATAGGAACGATTTAAAAACAAAAATGTTTAATGCGCGGAGGAAATGTATAATTATATATAATTTTTAAAGGGGAGTAAAATCGGCCTGAGGAATAGTGACAAAGTAGATTATACTCAGTTGCTACTATCGTCAAAACAACTTGACAAACGCACGGATTTTGATCGTTCGAGTATTGTTACAACCACACTATTGGATGTTGTAAGTACATATTTTAAATATAAGTTTTATATAAAATGGCCGATTTGAAGATCGAAAATCTTGCATGATGTAATAATATAAAAGGTTTATAAAATGATACTGATATTATAACAAATTAATGCTGACATCTTAAAGAAAATGCCGGTGTAGTGGTTTTGTTAATATTTTTAACTTAAAATGGTCGATTAATAGTTGTACTACTGAAAGTTTTAGGTAGCAATCGGTATTTTATGTAGAACAGTATAGCAGAATCATACTTCTTCTTCCATTCAACGCAAAATAAAAATTATTCCTTTTAAACCTTAAAGTATTTATTTTTTAATGTATATTTGTTACGGTGAAAGACCGAAATCTGGTGAATGTCGACCAGATTTCGGTCTTTCACCGTAACATATTTATTTTGTATTTTAAAACACTGTTACATTATCTCATTTGACTTGCTTATACATAAAATTTAAGTTCAAATATTTACGTCGAATATTTCTTCTAAAAAGAATCAGGAGTCATAGCAATTGATATTATTTTTATTTTAAATATAAATTTTAACCATGAAGGTAAACGAGTGGCACAAAATCACGGATGTAGCAGAAATGTTATTGAGAGAACCATCTTCCATATCCCAACAGTGTTATCCAAGAAATGTTCGCACAATATTCATGCAAATTTGTACGTTTAACAGAGGCGCCTGTTTCGGACTAGGTAACACTACATTTTAATACATAAACATAATCTACTATTAAGGTAAAAGTACCAGTAGTTGACCATGTACCAGTAGTTGACCATTTTGTTTAAAAAATGATGAAATAAGGTTTGTATAAGTTGCGCACTTCAGATGATAGTGACTTTTAGATGCCACGACATTTGTTGTTTAAATTTTGGAACAATTGCGCGTGAAGTGAAGTGTGTCTATTAGCAGCGAATATCCGAGTACAATAAGGTAAGTAATGTGCCGATATATTTCTATTTCCTTAACGATTCTGTTAAGAATAGCTGTATAGTCCAGATAAAAAATTTATATGTTGCGAACATTTTGTGAATAAATCAGTTACTGTGTAAGCGCTTACAATGTTTTATCAATTTAATAAATACATTGTTTTTGTCGTTCTAACTTAAAAAAACAATAGTTTTTTAATGGTCAACTTTTGGGTATTGTTAATGTACAACTTTCAGAAGTTGACAGGCATGGAAGTGAATAGTGGCTACTTCACTATTTCACTATTTTATTATTTTACTATTTTACTATTTTACTACTTTACTATCATACTGCTATAGTGTTTTGCGATTTTCATATTTTACTATTTTATTATTTTGCATCTTTGCTCTTTTCCTATTTTCTTGTTTTCCATCTTTCCTCTTTTTCTCTTTTGTCATTTTGTTATTTTGCTATTTTACTAGTTGATTATGGAAGTGGCCAGAGAAGCCCGACGTGTTGGACTACAAATGGAATGCTGTAGTTTCTCATATTAATGAGCCCACCAAAGCAAGCAGAACTCGTAATGTTTATTCTGTTCCTGAGTTGAATGTTTTATTCAATTAATTTGGTTAATTTCGTCGTTTTATTGTTTAAATATGATTTGTACTGCTTATTGTTAAAATTAAACGATAATAAACTGATTTCCAGCATTAGTCTTTTAACCTTGCTTCGAATATAAGTGGTCAACTACTAACGAAAAGAGGTGGTCAATTACTAGTTTTTTCCTTTTCAAGAGTGGTCAACTACTGGATCATTTTCCGAATTCTCAAAAATATTTACCAAACTTGTATAACTTAACTTTTTTTAAAAAGTGGTCTTGGTACATAATCTGAAGGGTTTAACGAACGTCTCCATGCATTGATTCTCGCCATTTATTGATAGAGTAAAGGGTTACCATTGTTTCCGTAGAAAATTTCTCTTAACTGGTCAACTACTGGTACCTTTACCTTAATCGCAAATAGTAAATGTGTTTCAGTGTAAATATTTGAAGAAAAATTTTATTATAAAATTTTATATTTTTTAATCAGGAGAAAATATGATTGACAGAAGAATAGTATCCACATCTTACGTACGATGTTTTTTAGTCCCACGTTATTTTATAAACGAAAATAATCGTGGCAATATTTGGGAACGGGTAAAATTGTTTATGGATTCAAAATTCCCAACTAAAAAACAACTGTTTAAGAAGTTTGTTAATAATCGCAGGTACTATTACCATTATTAATTATAACATAGATTTTTTCGATACCTTAAAAATATTTAATGTAGACACGGATTGAAAGAGTATTAACGAGGTGTTAACATTTTTCATCATTAATGAATGATCTAGTTATTTAATCGAAATATCTAAATAGAAAAATAGAAGCATTAATGTAAAAGTTGTTACACTAAATTAAAAAGGAACGATCTACATAATTTTCTGTAATTTATAACATTTTAGGTGGCGAAAGTATAAAAAGGATTTAGTTCATGACATAAGAAGATCAGGTCACCTAATACACAGTAATGTGACTATGCACGATGTTCCTTACTCGATTAGGATTATGGACGATATGAATGGTGATCTATAAGATCGTCATTTAGTGTAAAAAGTTTATTATTGTACAAGTTACCTAAATAAAAACATGGTCCACGATTACAAAATTTAAATTAACTCGACAAACATACTTTCCCGTGACATACTTTCACACGACAAATTAAAACATTATAGTTCTTTGGTCTAATAACTTGTCTTTTTTTAAATTCGTGGAGTTGACATTTTTTTAAAGTCACATCGCGTTAAGTACCAAGGAATAAATTCTTCTTTTTAATATGCATCCCGCATAAATTAATGACACGCCGAAAGTTTGTAATTTGATTACAAAATGTTTTGTAACCATTTTCAAACGTTTTATTTCGTGCACTGAATTTTCACTTATCGTTAATCAAATAATAAGTACATTATTAAGAGCACACTGATTAAACTTCATTATACACATTTTAGTGTTTTTATCTCTGTAGTACATTCTCACAGTTAAAGATTACTTAATTCTAAAATAATACTAATTCACATGGCATAATATCAGAATAACATAATACTTAATGAAATGTTAAAACCCTGATTTTGAATTGTTTAATAAATTCTTTAATTAGCATATCAAGTTCATTGATATACACCTAATGAAATTCTGCAAAATATTTTAGGTAAACCTAATGGTTTGAACAATTCCAAAATGTGTAACTATATATGTATAACAACTTTAATTGTATTGTTACATTTCTTTCGATACTTGTAGAATGAAAGATTACTTAGAAGTATTAGAACATACAAAAATATCGCTTTACTTAGAAAATCTAACGTCAATTTTCCTGTTCACATATACATGTATTGTATATATTATTATGTACTTATATACGAATTGACGTAACTAGCCAGGGGTCGTGTTGACCCCTCTACTTTACGAATATTTCAATTCATCACAAATTTTTCATAAACTCGGTAGAATTTTATTTTACCAGGAATAAACATTTATGACACAACTAAATAAAAAAATGCTAGATACTAGATATGTCTGGTAAAAATATAGGACCTGACCCTTCAGAAAAAATCCTAGTTACATCAATACATATTTACTCAAAGATATATTTATCACTATATAAATTTTACGACTATCGATGAAATCTTACAACAAGATATGTTCTGAACATTATTTTCGAACATTCAATGAATGGATTATAAAAATATAACGATTCGCTAATTATGCTAATTCGAATGATATTCTTATTCATCTAAAATCAGTATTTATAAAATAGTTTAGACATTGATTTCATAAAAACTTAACAATGAACAATATCTAGTTGATGTTCTTTGATGATACTTTGTATCATAGCTAATTATTATTTCACTATACTACTTAAACGTAAAGCGTTGTCATGGCACATTGAAAATTTAATAATATGACAAAAGGATTTGATATTCATTAGCGTAACTAGGATTTTTGTTTAGGGTGGATCAAATGATCTATTATACATTCGGGTAAAATATCGAACATTATATGGATATAGAAGCTGGTGATATAAGGAAAGGATTAATTATTCCTACAAACTATCACTTCTTATATTCCTATATTTTTAAATTCTCAAATTTCCAAATTTCTTAAAATTCCAAATCTTAAATTACCAAATCTCTGAATTCTTAAATTATCAAATTGCTAAATTCCAATATTATCAAATTTTTAAATCCCCAAATTTCCAACTTCACCAATGCCTGAACTTTCAAACTTCCAAGTTCTCAAATCGCCAAATCTTCAAATCATAACAAAAGAAATCTGCATGACTAATGTAAATTAAACGCAATACTTGATAACCCTTGAGCATCATATGTACCTAACGAGTATAAACTTCTCACCGTACATTGTCATTTTCCTTACAAAATTCCACCACGTACCCAATTATACTTATTCCAACAATTTTTCACAAAACTCCTCTACACTTCAGGTTACCAGACCCACCCTGTTTCCTACCTAGTCACACCAACGCAACTATTTGTATATATTAAAAGTGTCTCCTTCTTCAGGTTATTATAACTGTTAACACCTCTAATTCGTTTCCCGAGAGTCAATCATAACATAACTGGGATTACTGAATCCATCAGGTACGTCCTTCCGCAAATCAATTTTCTGTTTCGGCATATTCACATAATTGTCTTGTGTCCTCAGGATGTTTGGCACGAAATCCTTCTTCGAGTTGCTGTCCGAGTTTTTTTCAACCCCATCCGAGTGTTTCTGGTTCTTTTCATTTAGATCTATCAATTGAACATTTCTAGGAGCGTTGCAGTAACCGGAATCTCGATCAATTGATTGATCTGATGTTTGATTTTTCATGGCTTGCCTCTGACGAGCGAACTCTGCTCTTCGTTCATGCACATTGATGGGTTTCAAATATGGATCATCGTCTTCTTGCTTCTTCAGCATCGGCGACAACTCTACTGCATCTTCGGAGTCTGAAGTTGGAGATGGGAACTCGAAACGTAATCGTTCTTCTTGTGGTCTGGGACTGAATATTCCGGACTCGTCCTTTGGACTGGTTGGACTCATACACAGGTAGGTGGACGCGGGCGAAGTCAAGGGCGAATTCGCGTACTCGTGAGTCGGTGAAGAGAGAGTCGTGTGGTCAGGCGCAGACAGCATAGTTAAATAGTCGTTCTTGCCGGCTTCCAATAGCATTGTGTTCATGTCCAGATAAGGAGCATTTAGACTAATGTAGTGCTGTAAATTTAATGAATGTGTTAATTGAATAAGTTTTAAGTGAATGTAGTTTGTAAGGGTCAAATGTAGTTATAAAATTTTTTTTAGATTTATAAATTTCCAAACTTTGAAATTTTCAAATTCCCAAATTTTTCAAGTTCTTAATTCTCAAGTTCTTAATTCTTCAAATTTTCAAATTCCCTAGTGTTCAAATTTTTTATTTCTCAAAATTACAATTTCTAATTAAATATTTCATAAATCCCTAACTTTCCAAATTTCTTAAATATTTTTATATAATATAAGTGAATAATTATATTTCTTACCGATTTTATGCTATCTTCCAAGAGATCACCTATACTCTGAACTAACTCTGTGAAACTTGGTCGTAAAGTAGGTTTAGCCTTCCAACACTGGAGCATTATATTATATCTACACATTCAAAATAGTAAATAAGAAAATGAAATTATATTTTGCATGTTACAGAAAATTAAAATGTCATTTACCACTGTGCATGCAATTTGACAATAAGATCTATTTATTGTATGTATTCTATGTCAATTAAAAATCACTTAAACTAACAAGTATTTGACTATGGAGTTAAGATAAAAATACTGCAAGAATTATAATAGATATTTAATCCTCTATATGTATATGGAAAATGTAGCCTAATATTTTAAAAATGGTAGAATATTTTATGATTTTATTCAATGTATTCAGAGTAGAAAGTTTATGCCAGGATAGTAACTAAGAATCATTAAGTGTATTAATAATATTTTTTAAATACTTGGTACTACAAATTAAATATTAACCTGTTCCACTCCAAAATACAATATTACTTCCACACAATATTTTACTTCCACACCATTCCTACATCTCCTAATTTTATATACCTTGAAGTTTGAACGAGTTTATAATACGTGAAAGATCACCGCCTGTATGCAATGTATCATAGAACAGAGTCGGTAATAAAGATGTTAACTCACATTTCGGGAGTAGCGTACTCCGGCTGTTCCATCCTATAACCTTCTATCAGCTTCTGATACTGTTTTTCAGCTTCCATTCCAGGATACGGTGTTTCGGCTAATGTGAAAAATTCCCATAGAACAATACCGAACGACCAGATATCCGACTGAGTTGAGAAAATTCGATCTCTTATCGATTCGATGGCCATCCATTTTATGGGTAATGGCCCGTCCCCTTTCTTTTTGTAATTATCATCCTTGTACATAGTTTTTGCGAGACCAAAGTCACATATTTTTACCACATTGTTCTCTGCCAATAATATATTCCTTGCTGCTAAATCACCATGCAATACCTGCAAATTATTTACTTAATTACTTAAACATATAAATAAACACATAAATAAAGTAAAGAAAAATATGAATGCAGATACATAAATAAACACATGAATGAAAATATGTAAATAATTCAATCCAGATCACATTCAATTTTAAACATAAGAAACAGTACGAGCCCTCATAATGAAATTAAAATGCCTCCATTTTTAAAGAAAACTTGATTTTCTACATTCTGCAAGTTTTCATCCATATAACTAGAAAAGTAGCAAATCAAATATTCTTAAATAAAATGGAGTTGTTACACCTTCACCATATATGCCTTATATATTATTTTACCAAAGTTGAAAGTTAAATCATATAATTTGCAACAATGTAGAGGCAACAAAGATACCTACTTTTCTCTGACTAAGGTACTCCATTCCTCGTGCAACTTGAAACGCCCAAGACAACAAATCTTGGGTACAAATGGGTTTCAAATTGTGTTCCTTATAATCACCACGATAGTTGGATCTCCACCCTGGCTGTGAGGACTCGGTACTGAGAACACAACCATCCGGGGACATGCTAACCCCTTGAGAATCCATAGTAGCAGTAGCTTGATAGTGCACCGTGTCGGTGCCAGAATTGGCGCTAAGACTGCGGGAAAATGACAATACCGCGTATTTTATCCTGAAGTGTGGACAGAAGAAAACACAGAGATATCGTTAACACCGCAACCCCATGCACAATTGTGTGAGTATGTATAATACACATACGTTTTATCGTGTTATTGACCAAAGTAACGAGTGTAGGACAGTTAAGAAACATGTATGAAGTATATTATTCGTGGTAATGCTTAGTGCAATGTTTCATTTTTTGGTTAAAATGTTTAGGCTAGTGAATATTTTTGTTATGTGCTAGTTTTTATGTATATGTATATGGTGACTACTATATTTTAGATTTTGGTGACGAAGGACTTTTGGAGACTTCAGACTTTTGGATTTTTAGATTTTTGAAGACTTAGCAATTTTGGATGTTTGAGATTTTGAGTCTTTCAAATTGTGGAACTTTGAAATTTTTAAATATTAGGAGTTCGGGATTTTGCAAATTTAGGACCTTGGAACTTGGAAATTTTTGAATTTTGGTATTTTATGATATCAAAACTTTAAAGCTTCAATAAATAATGCATTATAGGTGAGTGATCCACAAAAAATTATCATTTTCAATAGTGAAACCCAGAAGTTTAAGGTTCAGCCCTGATCTAAAGTAAACATATTTCAATAGCAAACTGGTTACTCGAAATTTTAGTTGTGCGCATTAAAACAGCCAGTAGTTTTAGCAAAATAGGAATTCATTCGTATAAGTTATATTAAACGCTCAGTTAGACTTTAGTCAATAAATAAAAATTCAATGCAAACCTGTTGTTACTTCCAATGCTGGCAGATCTCGTTAAAATATCTAGACCGATGTTGGGATCAATCTTCCCTGTTGCTGGATCGATTTGATTAATAAAATTAGTTCTGTGTCTGAACAGATAGTTATGCAAATTTCCAAATCGACAGTATTCGACGATCACCAGCAATTCACCTGTTTAAACAATGAACGAAATAGTGTAACATTTCTGTTCTATTTTTCACTAACAATAGATCACATAACTATTGCATCCCTGATTTTAATCAAACTTTGCACAATTATAGAATATCTCAAAAATAATGATTTTGGAAAACTATAGCACGCAACTGTGCAAAATAATAAATTTATATTTGAAATCTTTGTAATTTTATTTAACTTTAAATTAATTTTAATCTTAATTTATATTTAACCAAAATTAAATAGAAAACAAACAATTATGTTGCTAATTTATTACTATAATACGTACGTTTGGAGATATTTTTCGTGCACGCTCCGAGAAGATTAACAACATTCAAATGTTTTCCTAGATGCACCATAATTTTCAATTCACTAGCAAGTGCTCTGACATACGTGGGATCGGTTGTTCGTCGAACCATTTTTACAGCAACAGTTGTTACCGTTTCGTGTTCACAAATTCCTTGTGCTTCTGCTTTCATTACAACTCCGAATGCTCCACTTCCCAATTTTTTTCCTGTAAAGTAGTATCCGTTAACGTTAGTATATATTAATACTTAATAATAATCATTAATAAATGAAATTCAATTGATAGCTTGATTTGTAAAAATTTAAATGCAACGCGATCACCATTACTATCATAGTTATTGTTTATGTGACAACTATTATTGATTTAAGTTTATTATTGCTAGTAACTACCATACCAGTTTGCTATTACTAATGCCATTACTATTTTTCAGTTTTGAATATAACTTTGATTTATATTTTTACCTAATTTCAATCTATCTCTAGGAAATTCCCATTTCTTATCATAAGGGAGCAACTCAGCTTGATCATCAACAGTCAAATCTGGATTCAAGCATTCTATTGCTCCTTCTTCAAAATGCATTAGTCCAGCTTCCATTAATTCTTTCCTCATTATCTAAAAATTAAATTCGATAAATCCTTAAAATTATTCCGGAAAATCTTTCTATGATATATTGTAAAAATTAAAATTGGTAACATACTTAAGCAATTGGTATTTAAAATAATAAGTACTGGTTTACATTTAAGTACTACATAGTTGTATCTAAAGTAATAAAATTACCTTTTCACGACGAACCTTGATGGTGAAATAAATTACTAGAACCACAACAATGATTACTAAGATGGCAATCAATGCAATTAGTTCCTTGGGGATCACTTTTCCTGTAAGCAGAATTATTAAATTATCCATACGTGTCTCATGGGACGTGTACATAATTATTTTACAAAATAATAAATTACCTTTTATCGTTATTTGTTGAGAGGCTTCAATTTTTCCTATACGATTCTCTACTTTACATGAATATTTTCCACTGTCCGATCCTAACAGATATTTAATATGAAGCTCTTGATGTTGAAAGAGAAACATGTATTGGTCGTTTCTTCTTATTAAAGTGTCATCCTGGTAAATAGAAATTATTTTGTGTAATTAAATTAATTGCAGTTACACGAAACACATAAAATAATATTAAGGTATTTTATAAATAGAGTGAGCATGTTATAATATAGTTTAGAATAGCCTAATTATTCGTCAACGAGTTGCATAACGAAAAACAAATTAAAAATCATTTACCTTATACCAAGTGATATTTGGTTTTGGCATCCCATTCACAAAACATTTCAGAATCACCGTTTTATGTGCCTGCGTATTTAAATCTATCGTAAGTTCATTTCTGTTCATATTAGTTTCTTTGAAAAAGGGTGCTTGTGCATCTAAAAAAAGGCAGAAAAACATGCAAGTAAATTCACTATAAAAACCGAAGACAATTTTTAAGTAATGGTTTTAAAATTCTTACCATGAACTTCCAGAAAGTAACTCATTTCTTCTCTATTTCGGCACGAGTAGTTCGTTGAATCTCCTTTAGTAACGTTCATTATCTTCAAAATTGAACGATAAGTAAATTGAGTTTTACTATGAACGATCGTTAATCTGTCTGATTTAAAAATTATTGGATTAATGAAATGTATTTTAAGAAGATAATGGCTATTGAGTAAAAGAAATGTTTACTATTTTCTACAATGCGCGAATCATTGCCGTATCTCCAGTCAAATGTATCCGAATAATTGTAAATCGAAGCAGCACAAATTAGCTCTAAATTGTCACCTTCGGTTACTAATTCTGTTGGTTCGACTATACCGAACCCACCTCTTCCATCTATAACATTTTTAATATATTATATTATTATAGTAAAGCTGTAATACTGTAGTACTATATATCTTAAGATAAAATACAATTTAATAAAGTGGTAGTAACGCAACTGGCAAGTAGTACGATAAAGTGTAAAATAAAAAATTATTGTATAATAAAAATTCCGGTTTAGAAGAACTATGATCCATGTATTTGCTATAAATGCATATACTTTATTATGAAATACTTTGTACATGGAAAAGATATTCTTACCAGAGACTAAAGCAGTTTGAGTGCTCGATTCACATCCGAGAACGTTGCATGCGGTACATTTTAGTTGGCCAGTCATCTCGAAGGTCATTTTCACTTTTGAGAGAATTCTGGTATCTGATACCACCCCCTCGGTACTCTATATACAATTCTTTTCATTTTATCATAAATTTTTCCTTATCAAGAAACTGTATACAGTAATGCTTTGAAATAGTCCAGCAAAAACACTAGCAAATTTCGAGATTTATTATTAGACGCTATCAAATAATGTACAATGTTATGGCTCATTAGCTGATGGTCTGATATACAAATTCAAGTCATATTAATTAATAGTTTTAGTTGACATTAGATTTTAAAGCATATCAACTAATATGTAGATGATAAAATTCATTAACTAAATACCTAAGTTTTAAAATTCATTAATTGATAATTTTAACTGATAACAGAGGCTTTAAAGCATATTAGCTGATAGTTTTAAGTGATATGTAGGTTTAGAAAATCCTCAGCTGGATATTTTCAATTGATATGCAAGTTTAAAGCTACATCAGGTGATAACTTTAACTGAAATTCAAGTTTCATGGTTCTTTGATTCATAGTTTTCCTGACATGCAGTATACAAAGTTCTTTAGCTAACTGACATGCAGGTATCAAGATTTTTTAGCTGGTTAATTTTAACTGACATGCAAGTTTTAACAACTTCATCAGTTAATTTGTTTTAACTGATATGTATGTTTAAAGTTGCATGAGCTAATACTATTAACTGACATATAAGTTTTAAAGTACATTAACTGACCTATTGTATAGTTTTACTTGCACATCTTAAGGCACATCAGATAATTATATCAGATAATATGCAGGTTTAGTATGTCAGTGAAATTATTCATCAGCTGATGTACAAACTCTAAGCTTTGTCAAATGATTTATAAATCTCAATATTTGTCAAAAGGACACTTTTCAAAGTATCACTATATCAATACTTAATCATTAAAGATCTACGTACTACTATGTCTTCATTTATAGTATCACAATGTGGATAGTGAGGACATTTTACAAAGTTCCATGAAATTTCAGGTTGTGGAAATGCTACTACATCGCAAAGTATTTCAGCTTTCTGATTCAAAGCATAGTAACGAGATTCTTCTAACATCACTAAAGGTTTAACTGTTAAAAATGATTATAGCGATCAATAAATCGGATTCACAATTTATATATGTACATTAAATGAAAATACTCACCAATCACTTCCAAAGTGAAATTTAACATTTCGTTTTTATCTCCATTCGTAGCTTGAAGGGAATAAACTCCCATGTTAGCGATTTTCAAATTATTGATTTTTAAAATCGTTTGAGTAGGGCTGTAACTTATCGCGTAATTGTTCATTTTATCTACGATTTCCTCTCCCCTTGGATCCAACCTATAACCGTGTTATTTATACTTTAAATACAAAATGGGTAGGGTATTGCTTACAGAAAACAGTGATCGATTGAAAAAATTCTAAACTCTAAAGTCAAAAACAATTTTATGATTTAAAACTGTCACAACATTGTACTTATATTACATTAATTTAAAACTGAATGTTTGTCAAAAGTAATTATATAAACCTTTCTAAAGTTTATGTTTTAATATTTCTTATATAAAATTTTTTATTGTCAGATAACAATTTTTGCTGCGAATTCTATCATTTATGTTTATTACAGTTTTTTCCAGTAAACTTTAAGTTTATACTTAATAATACTTTATACTACTTTTTTGTTATCAAATTATATCACACTTTTAACGTTTCAAAAACTAACATTTCAAATGCAACAATCTGGTTCCTATACAATTTAACAAAAGCGTGTTTTCAGCTTGTTAAATTAAAACATTTGAATATGTTACCATTTAAGAGTAGGTTCAGGATATCCATGTACATAAACAACCCATTGTATTTTATCACCTTCCTGATGTTGATAATATCTTTCAGGATCTTGAGCTGTTAGATTGATGAATTTATAGTCTGGATCTAAAAATTTGTGTTGAATATAGTTACTATCAATTGTCTATAATATTTATATATATTTTTGAATTATTGTAGATATTTGTAAATATTACCCTGGTGAAGCAGAATTATATAAATATGTACTTACCATGAACTTTGATATACTTCTTCGTTTGCTTAGAATCATGAGGGGATATGATAATGCATTCATACCAGCCTTCATCCTCATCCCTCACATCTTGTATAATTAATTCATTAGTGGCTTGTCGAATATTGATACCATAGATTTTACTGTAGTAACGAGAAGTTATTCTACTGCTCTGAAATTATATATTATTCAGAATTTAAAGAAGTGTCAAGTTTTTAAATTTCTAAATTCTAAATTCTCAAAGTTCCAAAATCCTAAAGTATTAAAGTCACAAAGATCTAAAACCTTGGTTTCAAAGTTAAGAGATTTTAAATTCTTTAAAGTCCCAAAAATTCAAAATTCAATAATTGGAAGGTCCCAAATTTAAAAATCCTAAACTCTTTAAGTCTTAAAATTTCAGTTCTAAACTTCAAAAATTAAAAAATTTTTAATTTCAAAAGTCCCAAAGTTTCAAAATGCGTAAAGATTTTCAGTAATATTAGAAATAAATTATAAATTAACACGAACGTATCGTATATGTAGTTAAATTTTTTCCCTACTTCCATTCAGATAACATAAATAGCAAAGTTTAATGATAAAAAAAATTAACACTTACCTGTTGAGGTGTCGTCCAATTGAAAACATACTGCAAATCTGCATTTACTTCTGTCGTGCAGTTCACGTGTAGAGTTTGACCCCGTGTCACATAACCCAAAGTATTTTCATGTATTTTCGGCTGGTTCAATTTTTGATGTCCTTGAAACGAATGAAAGAGATTGTGTAAAGTATTGTAACAGTTGTACGTATTTCATTAATTCTAATTAATTTTAATTTTAGTTACTGCTGTTTATGTATTCATGATATACGTATCAAAGTTCGCAAAGTATATAACATCATATAATCTATGAACTGCAAAATAAATACTATAATATTTAAACAAGTATAATATTATAGTAGAACATTTATTTACATATAAATAATGTGCCAGCTGCAATAGATTACACATGTAACGTGATAGTTTAATTACAATTGTAACATGAAATTGAAATGAGGTATTACGGAATCAACTTTCGACATTTTTTTATTACAATCTACAGGACGTCTCAAAATATTTATCGAAAAACGATTTCGATAAAAGAATTTATTCGATGAAAAAATGTCGCAAAAATGATTCTGAATTACTACCTTATGTGTACTATTATGTAGTATAGTATATTTAATAGATGATATACGTTAAAAATGTAATCAATTATTTCTTGTGTCGTTATTAATTATTCGATTACATTACATTAATTAACCACTGTTTTTGTAACAATAATCAACATGATAATTGCAACATAAATTTGGCTCAAAGTTAAATTAGGATAGTGTGTCTGAAGCATACTTACGATCCACTAATAAATGATAATTGTCCTCTCCAATCATATCACCATATTTGATTTCGCATTTGAAGTATCCACTATCCTTAATTGCAAGATTGCTCAGGATATATCCAATCCTTGGATTGAAAGATAATCTGTTCGAGTCGATAACCTGTGTACCACGTTCCATTTTATTTATTAAATTAAAATTAAATAAAAAATATATGTAATTTGTTACACAAGATAAGTATGTAGTTCAGATGTTTGTTAATTATTATCATGTTTATAATGTTGACAATTTGAAATATTAAATGCAAATTCTATTTTACCGTTTCACCGGTATCTAGGGTGACCGTATAATTAGGCGATGTTGGTCTACATGGTATAATGACGGTCTCGCCAATAATTTTGCGCAGCGAAGAAAAAGTATTCGCTTCTACGAACAAACTTGTATTAGCTGAAACAAAATAGTAATAATAATTGTAGCTTAGATTATAAACGATTGAATGTTCAAAACAAATGACTCTTTACTGTACGTGCTGTAAATCAGTGCTAAATTAGTAATACTAATTTATTTAATTCATTATGTTAATTTATAAAGCCCTTAAATTTTTACGTTTTCAAATTGTTAAATTTCCAAATTTTTCTACTCCTAAATATTCAATAAAAAAGTTCTTAACTTTCCATATTTAATAATTTAAAAATTCTTACAATTATAATACTCTAAATTAAATACCTAAATCCATAAAACCACAAACTTTTAAATTCTTATATCCCCAAATTCAAAAATTGCAAAAGCGCTAAATTTTCAATAATGAAATTATTTCCCTCAAATTAAATTCATTACCAAATTATACTAAAACGTCTTTTTCGATTTAAAACTTACATTGGAAATAAATGTACACATAGCTTGTCTGTTCTTTGAATTCAGGATCTGAGGTGACCTTAAGAAAATGATTTGGACAACCATAGAGACCTGTATCTCCATAAACAGTTTCAGGTCGTTCAAAAATGTATTTATGAATGTCATTTTCGTAGTGTTCTTGGAGAAAGGCTTCGGAGACGGAGAGCTGTAATTACAAATAAGAATCATTCCTATTTTCATAATTCAACTAATTGTTTCTTAAAGAGATACTTACCGATATAGTTGTAACGTTAGGATAAATAAAAGAAGTTCTTTCGGAACCATAGCATTCGATCTTCAAGGGGTCACCTTCGTTTTTGATCAGTTCAGGAGCTTCCTTTATTTGCTTTATGTCTGCCGCTGTCAATTCTGATAATCCTTAAAAATAAAACATATTGCACTATTAACTTTTCAAATTCGTAAAGTGTAAAATATATGTATATATTGAACAATTTTTGTAAACTGTTTTTATAACGGAAAACTATAGTATTCATAAATGTTTTAAATATTTAAAAGAGTCTAATTAATTGATACAGTAATAATATTAAAAAAATTATATGTACTCTTAAGAAATGTTTACTGAAAAAATACAGAAAGTGATTATAGAAATTAATGCTACTTTGGTAAAATTGTTTAATTACAAGTTAAAGTTACAAATATATCTTTCTATGAAATATTTGTTCTCATTATGTAATTTTAAATTAATTAGATAATTTATTCAATTCTAAACAATTTATCTTGTTTTATTTAATTAATTTAGTTTAACATTTTTATAACATTAACCAAACATTTCTTGTTTTCTTTAATCTAATTGTTTTCCTTTTCCATGCTTTGTACGATATGATGTGTTACAAAGGCATAAACATTCGCTGTCCACTTATCACTCAGAAGAGCTTAAATATAGCATGCAGTTATACGCTTATTTTAAAACTATTATTACAATAAATATTATATATTTTTTATTTAAATTTATCCTGTATCATGTTTTCATCCCTCATTTACGAAGAAACCTTGTTCCCTCACAAAATATAACATGACGAAATATTTTTTTAATAGTTTAATAAAATGTAAATGCAAAATTAGTTAAATAATTTTTATTTTTCTATTGAACTCATATCTCCATCTTGATTCGTTTAAATATTTCCAACGTATCTGTATTTCGTAGAGATAAATTCTAAATAATTCTCCGTAAAAACGCAGAGGAAGTGAAATATTTGAGAGAAGAACAGAATTTTTTTAGCCACAATGTCCTGCGGATGATCGGTTTTATCCGATTTCTCCAGGTTCTGTTCATCGTAAAAATACGCACACACACGTGCACGAGCTCGTTTCTGCGCAAATAAAACCGTCTCTAGGAAGGAAGTCCTTTCTTTCCTCTTCTGATAGTGTAGTCGCATTATCAGCCAAACATGACGATTTCACGAGAGAAACAAGTGAATGAATCCGAGGAACGAGTTGACTAAAGTTTCTTTGTAAACACCTCTTATTTTCGGACGAAAAATAAGCGACACGGCATTTTTTAATAAAAGAAATCTATAATTAACTAGGATGACAAAACTGGTGTATCAAATAAGTATTTAAAAAAAGGAAATGTTTGATACTGGTGTTGGGAAAGAGATATAAAAATGCTTAATTATTTATTTTTGAGTTATTAATAATTTATTAATATATTGGTCAATATAATCAATATTATAAATTCAATTTTTAAGATAAAATTAGTATTACATATGTTTAATTTTATTTGTAATTAAATATTTGTAATTAATTAATTAATTAATAACAATTAATTTGTAATATTACAAAGTCAATTTCTGAAATAAAATGTTGTTACAATACGTTATTTTTTTAAAACGGAACAAAAATAATTTTCGAGAGAAACAGCAAAGAAAACATTGCAGATTGATGGAGTTCTATCTTATTTAAACAAATTCGAGAAAAACAAAATGATGAGCAAGTGGTCAATAAATGATCAACTTATCGAGAAATAAACTCAAATTGAATAGATTATTTTTTATAATTCATTGATAGTGATAATTGGCAAAAAGTGTAGAAAATAATTATATATAAATTATCCTACTTTAAAATATTTAGTTTATTTCTGAATATTAGATACATTTTACGAATGTTATCTATAGTCGTGAGACTTGTTGCTATGTATTGGGAATTTGCGATAAGAACTTCCCAACCTACTAACGATAAAGGATAAAGAAAAACGTATGGTCACCCATAGATTAGCATAGTAGGTTCGTACTATCACATGGACCCACAGTTTGATTAAATAAACAAAAGCGAGGCCTGCAATAATATCAAAAACCGTTCGTTATCAATTTTAAAAGAGAAGATAATTTTAACTTTTCAGAAATAATAAGAAAACGTTGATTAACATTCTTTCTAGAATTTTATTGAAGAATTTCATTTAATGTTAGTTTATTTAAAAAAGTTGAATAGTGTTGATAATTTGAAAAAGAACAAAATTACAGAAGCCAAGAAATATTTTTAATCGCTTTAAATATGCGATTTATTTACGTTTTAAGATTACAAGATTTTAGTAGTACATTATGTTACATTTTATAGTATATTTACAATACAATGAATTTTTATTTACAACATACATAATACATCATTTCAAACGTTTATCACATTTCCAAGTAATTATAAGAGTGACGAACAGATTATATAATCAGAATTATTTATAATTCGAATGAAATGTATTGTTTCAGAATACGTAACTGTTGTTGATTGTAAATTTAAGGAACAAAATTTTGTTTATCCGTGATTTATCATCGAATAAAGTGTGTTTAGCGTATCATAATCGGTTTCTGTGTCAGTTTAACGTAACTCGCATCGAGTAATGTCATCACCGATCGATCGCAATCGTTCGTGAGGATATTATTCAATACATCCTTCTTTTATATTACTACAATGAAATTACAGCTACGCATTTTAAAAATTAATTTTATTCGAAATACTTCTTATATTTCATTACTTACTAAATTATTTTTGTAAGAATAATACATTGATTTTAAATAAATTAACTGTTATTATCGTAAATAAATTTATAATTAATCACCTCTTATGTTGAAAAATTAATTTTACATTATCTGTTATATTTAAAAATGAATTTTAATTTTTTAATTTATGAGTTAATTTTGGAATATTTGTAATTTATGAATAAATGTATTATATGCGGGAAAATATTTATTGTTTACGGTTTATTTAATAGTTTCATATCGATACATCACACTAACGAGTTTGTCAATTCTCGTTAAAAGAACATGTACAACACACGAGTCAATTGAGTTTCGTAATTGATACACTGCTGAGCGATAATCAATGACTATAGTGTACACCTTAATGATGAAAATAGGTTACAATTTGTACGTTAACGTAATCTTTGAAATGGGTCATCGACATGTTATCTCGTAACCGATGTATAATTGTTTCAGCGTCATAAATATTATTTTAAAGAGGAAATTGAGACAGTTTTTATATAAATAAAAAAATGTCGGTGTAAACAAATACGACGTAGTTTAATTAAAATATCAAGTGGAATTTAAATATTTCAAATATCTGCTACAAAAGTATCTCTAAACATAGTATCTTTAAAAAGTTACTTAAAAATCAATTTGAACCATTTCTTAACGTTGCAAGCCCTAAATAAGAAATGACAAAAAAGTATCAAATTTTGATGTCAAAAGTTCTGCAAAAGTAAAGAGAACCAATTTTTATAATCTGACAAACGTAATATTAACAGATCGAAAAATATGATACTGTGGAAGAAAAACTGTTATGAAGTCATATAGTATTAAATTTTAAATGAAGAAATGAAGACAATAGGTAAATTACAAAAAAAGACATTTTGAAATAGTAATTTTTGGAAAATAGCAATTTTTAAAAGAAGAAATTCTATAAAAACGAAATATAACAAACTTCATAAGATGAAACCTTATGAAAACAAGATTTATTCTATTGGAAACAAATTTTACATGAAGAAATGTCATTGGAACAACAAACAAATTGTTAAAAATGAAATTTGTAAGAATAAATTAAAAAAAGGAAATTTTCAAACGAAGAAACTATATGAAAATAATAAATATCGAATTTTAAAAGAAACATTTTAAGATGAAGACGCATTCTATTGGAAACCAATTTTACACGAAGAAATGCTATTAAAACAGCAAGCAGATTATAAGAAAAGGAATTTTTAAGTAAAAATCGAAAGAAAAATTTTAGCCAAGAAATTTTACGAACACAGAAAATATCAAATTTTAAACGAAGAAATTCTATAAAAACGAATGTACCAAATTACTCAAACAGCAGCATCCCATAAACTGCTAAAATCCACACAAAAAGAAACGACCGAAAAGTATTAAAATTTGAAACTAAAAGATGCACAAAACCAAAGATACCCTAGAGCTTTTTTCTAAAAATATTAAATACACAAATTTACAGGAAGTATATGCACCTATAAAAAAGTAAAAAGACAATTTTAAAACACCAAAAACCTTAAAACTGAAATGAATTCTGAGGAAGCAGATTAGGCATTAAAATCGCCGGTACGAGCCGTAAGATTGAAAACCTGTTTCTCTGTTCTTGTAAGAGTGACTCAATGATGGCCACGTGATCGTGACGCCTGGCTGAAACAGCAGGTATTCATGGACGGGAATGTAGGTGACAGGTAAACGTCGAATGACAATTACCTGTACGAAGCAACAGAAGGATCCCAATGAGCACTGTTTCCCAAGGATGCACCATTGTTACCGATTTCTAGTTTCTTCTTGTCTTCACTATTTCACATTTTCGATAAAATAAGGAGAAGAAACAACTCGTACTTAGTCACTGCATAACAACGATCGGTACTGTTCAACGCGCGTGTTCTCACTGAAACATGAACGGGTTACACGACCACGATTCCACTAGAAGACCCCACCCTAAACGATTCTTCGTTCTCTGACTATGAGTTATCGGTAGCGACGTCATCTTGCCAGAGGTTTCCTTCATTCCGTCCACGCTCGGATTTAATCGTACGAAACGAACGTACAGTCTATGGCAATTACGTTCTCTGTTATCTTTTGTAATAAAAAAGATAGTGATAGTTTTAATTAAATTGTTAGGGTGTTGATACGCGATTTCGTGTTTGGAAAAGTTTTGGAGAAGTGAAGAGTGAGTCGAGTACGCGGTGAGTTGAGTACCACGTGATACGTAAGGTTTGTAATAAATGGTGATATAGCGCGTGGCGGTATAAGACGTAGCGATATAATGCGTAGGCGATGTATCGTGTGAACGACATGAGACAATGTGTGAGCAATGAAACACGTAGATATCGCGTGAGAGATGTAACACGAAAGGAAGATAATATGTGTAATATGTGGGTGATATGTGTAAAAGATGTAACATGTAAAGAAAACAATATGTGAGGAATGTAATACATTTGCCATATATCGTGCAATGTGAGCAATATGAAGGGGATATAACAGAGAGGTACAATGCATGAAGGATAAAAGGAGCAGGCAATATAATGCATAAGCAACGAATCAGGAATATAACAATTGATATAACATTTGTAATAAATGTTGCAAAACAAGGATATAATATTTGTAATAAATGGCGATATAACGCGTGACTACACAATTTTTAATCATTGAAAATTGCGACTATACATTTATCACACTTTCTTCACTTTTTTAGTATTATTTCAGAGATTGATTGAAGATTAGTTTTTTTTTGCAATATCTTCAGATCTAAAATAACAAAATTTTTAAATTAAATAATTTTCAGGTTTTAAAGTTTGCAAAATATGAAATTTTCAGGTTTCACAGTTGTGAAATTTCGAAGTACTAAAATTGAAAGGTACCAAGGTCCAAACATTCTCAAACTTTCTAAAATTCTAAGAATTCCAGAACTTCCAATAATTTTAAAAATTCCAGAGTTCAAAAATCTTAAAAATTTCAAAGTCCAAAAATTCTCAAAATCTCACAAATCCTAAGAATTCCAAACCTCTTCGAAATCCCAAAAATCATAAAAGTACCAAAAAACTTGACCTGAAAGTCTAGTGATTCTCAACTTTAAGACGATACAATGAAATGATATTATTCAAATTTCGATCTCGATTTTAATCATATTAACATAATTGTCCAGTCAAAATTATGTAAAAATCTTATCTATAATTGGACAAAATCACCCGTAGATAATTTATGAAAGAAACTACCTGTTTTTTAACTATTTTTTATCTTAATACTTCATTTTTCTTTAGTCATCTTTCGACGCGATTAAGTAGGACGAGGTCTTAATCGTTTGAGCTCCTTGTTGCTCTCGATTCTACAAACAATAATTATTCCTCTTTCTCTTTATGCAATTTTAAAGGTGTTATAACATTTTCTTCTAAATAACAGTACATATTATCATTCTAATTAGTGCAAATATTGAACGATGACAAATAATAGAAATTAATCTCTCAGATAACGGAAGTATGGAAACTTGATTGCGCGTTTATAAGTGATAATCAAAATGGCTTCTGAAATATACATATAAATTGTTACTTATAATTATGAAAAGATAAAAAGGTTCATAAAAAATTATATAACAATTAAATTATAATAAAATAAAAATTATATAATAATTTTGTTAATGTAAATTGGAATTTTTGATTTAAAATATTATAATATCAGAGTTAAAAAGAGTGATTGTTCGTTAAATAAATAAATATATGTGATAACAAACAGTCACTAAATACTAAAAAATAATCACTCATTAGTAACATATGTATAAAATGAAAGAAAGTTATACCAATCTCCTGTTCAAATAATAAATTTGAACATCCTCATAAAAATAAAAATTTAAGTTCATTAAAATTAAGATTGAAGTTTAACTAAAATGTTTCTTCAGAAATTATGACAGTGAATTCTAAAAAGATCATAATTAGAAAAATTATAAGATTGTTATAATTTTTGAAGTTCCGATAAATTCGTTCTATTTTAGTAATGAGTGTTAAATCTCCTTTCACCACGGATGTTAACACGGACATGTTCTTAAACAATTAAGTATAAAACAACAAACACAACCGCATGGTCATAATAAAATAAATCTATCACTCCAGACCTCTCAGGATCAAAATAAACCTACTATTTTTGGAACAAACTAAATTGCCTTCGCTCTAGAAACATAAGATTTTTGGAACGTGATGTTTCTTCTTGTTTCTTGCCAATAGCTCTACATGATTCATTAAGCTCGTATTACGATTCATTTAAAGGTCGATTGCCGTGGCCTTCAAATTAGCATGATTTGGGTGTGAATGAGTTGAGATTGTGTGTTCATCGTTGCAAAAAAGACTCGTTTAAGTATTTACCCTTTGTTCCAAACATTTAAATTATTTATTGTTTGATAAATATTATTATTGAATTTTATACAGAATCTATCTACGACGTTTTATTTGCAAATATAAGCAACTTGAAAAATTAATCAAGTGCTTGCATTTATATCTGCTACATTAAAAAATAAATACATACTTCAGAAAATAGTATTCAATACGTACAATCAATTTATGAGTTCCTACTAAAGTTAGGTTAAGTTAGGTTAGGTATTGAAATATTTTTAAATAATCAGTTACTTATTGGTATTTATTGAATAGAAAATTCATTTTGCAATGAAATTTTCAAACATTTTAAAAACTAGTTTATTAGAAAATAACAATTTTGTTCTCTCAACGTGTATAAAATATTATCTGTTTGTACATACATAAAACATTAAAATTAAAGAAATAGGATTAAAAGGTATTGACGAGGTCAATTTATATTTATAAAACAATCAATAAATTGTCCAATTCTTAAAAAATATTCACAAAATACGTTCCCTGGATAAAACGGTAATGTTATCTATATTAAAAATAGTAATAAAAATAATATAAATACGATAAGCTACAGTAGTCTTAAAATTAAAATAATGATATAATTACAGTAAACATGTAAACCGAGGAGTTATAATAATATCAGCTTAAAATTAAGTTTGCACATATTTTGTATCACCCTGTATAGTTATCAAAACAATTATTTGTTTGCTTTATATGCATGAGGAGATTTTTTAAAACTTGAAACTTCAATTAAACTATTTTTTTTAACAATTATAAACTTCCACAAATTTGTTTTTCGATAGTAAAGAAGACTTGCTCAAAAAAATCCATGCTAAAAGAATTATATTAACTTTCAAATGGTTTCCAATCCTCATACAACGGATGAAAGGTCATTATGACCCATCTACAGTTTTTCCTGTCTGTACATATTTCATTGTACATAAATATGATATTTACAGATGTATAATACAATTACAAATCAGCCTTTGTACCTGTGTATATTAGCATTTTCAATGTGGGTCAAAACGACCCCATTGTAACAGATATGAGAGTGTAAACAGCTTTTTATACTATTATCTTTAACGATATGTACATTTAATAATTATAATTTCAAAAATGGCATTGCTTATCATTCTAAAAATAACTTTCCTATAAGTATAAAACTACAGCAGTCAATGGTCTCACAAAAACTATTATGGTCAAAGTATTGAATATTTTAAACGTTAATTTCGAGTCACATAGTTTTTACTAGATTTTTTAGCACTTTTATAGGCACAGCGTCAAGTATGGTAGATTTCTTTAGGAAAAATGACGATGTGGGAGAAGATGGCGCCACTATAATACTGGTGTATAAAATGTGCCTTATAGGATTTCTATAATTGCAAATTTTCAAGTTTTTACATTTTTAAATTTGAAGGTTTTCACATTTTCTAATGGTGATATTTTAAATTTCTCATATTTCCTAATACTTAACATTTTTTAATTCCTAAATTCTTCTAAAATGCGCAATACCTGAACATCTCAATTGAGGAATTGAGAAATTAGAGAATTTGGAATTTTAGGAATTTGGGAATTGACAAATTGAAGAATTGGGGAATTAAAGAATAGGGGAATCGGGGAAATAGAGAATTGGGAAATTTGGGAATTTAATGAAAGCAGAAATTCGGAAAATTGTGATTTGAGAAATTTGAAAATTGGGATATTTAGGAACTGAGACATTTACATTTACAAATTTCGAGATTTTAATATTTCCTAATGGTGATATTTCAAACTTCACACATTTCTCAATAATCAAATTTATAAATTTTTTAATTCTTAAATTCTTATAAATTCTCCAATACCTACATATTTCAATTCCTAAATATCCCAGTTTTCAAATTTCTCAAATCTCAATTTTCTGAATTTCTGAATTTTCTGAACATTCATTAAATTTCCAAATTTTCCAATTCTCTATTTCCCTATTCCTCAATTTTCCAATTCCCCAATTCCCCAATTCCTCAATTCCCCAATTCCCAAATTCCTAAATTTCCAAATTCTCTAATTTCTCAATTCCTAAATTTCCAAATTCTCTAATTTCTCAATTCCTAAATTTCCAAATTTCTCAATTCCTATTTCCCTAATTCCTTATTTCTTCAATCCCCAAATTTTCCAATTCCTCAATCCCCAAATTCTCAAATTTCCTATTTCTCAATTCTCAATTCTCAGATCCCCTGTTTTTTCAATCCCCAAATTTCCCAATTTCCTATTTCTCCAATTCCTTATTTCCTCAATCCCCAAATTCCCCATCTCCTTAATTCCCTATTCCTCCGATTCCCAATTACCCCAATTTCTAAATTTTCCAACTTTCAAACTCTCAACAAACATCGTCATTCTTCCTAAAAAAAAAGCCCAGTCTTCCCAACAGCACCACATATCCCTTCGAACAATTAAAAAATATTTTGTTCGCGAGTAAAAAGCTAGTCATAAATTGTTTAAACCAAATGTTAAGATGCCGCGTTCTGTATAGGAATTCCACTAGATTGTCTATCACTGATATCTATATTTATCGTACAGGAACTATCGTCAATAACATCGTTGACATTTTGTGTTCGACCGTCGTTCGTTCGATTGCGGGTCGAAATATCCCTAGACAAATGAGGTTGCGAAATGCACTCTTTATCGTGAACGATGAATTTCTTCAAGTCGATCGACGATGAAGATGGTACAATTTCTTTCTTCTCAAGCTTCTTGTTTATAGATTGTCCTTGCATTTTAATGGTTACATCAGAGTCCTCGATGAACTTCTCTTTAGAACAACATTGTGAGGAGCTGCAGCGTTCGCCGTGACACCGAATCAGACAACCGGTTCTTGTCGTATTTGGCTTTATCTGTTTAATGAATAATTGATATGTATTATATATGTTATAATCAATTTTTGCTTTCTATAAAATCGATTAATTGACCTATTAACCTCTTTCCGTGCTTTGACGAGTCTCACTCGTGACGCACTTGCAGTTCAAACGCGATAAAATTTACTCAAATTTTGAAGACTCTTCAACTTGAAATTTAGGTTCAACTATAAGTTGTATTTTTAAGGATCCCTGAATATAAAATCTGCACAACATTTTAATTTTCTTTGTTCGTTTTAATGTTATAGTCTTGAATAAATAGTCTTGACTGACGCATCTGATAAATAAATGGCACGGGAAGGGATTAACTCATTTCTACACATAATTGCTTCAATTATTTACGATTTGTTACGTAGTCTGTTCCAAACATGATAAACGAAATAATATATTATGAAATTCTTGTACTTTGTCGAATATTATTATTAGTTCCTAGTTTTTACTAATCTCTTGTTCCTATTAATTCCTAGTATCTACTAGTCTAAAGTTTTCGTTTATTCAAATCTTAATAATTCTTAGTCCATATTAGTTTCTAGTTCCTAGTTTCTGCTAGTGCTTAGTCCTTAGTTTCTAATATTTACCTGTTCCTAGTATTTATTAGTCCTAGTCCCTAATTCCTGGTATATACTAAACCCTAGTTCTTAGTTCCGGATATCTATCAAACTCTAGTCACTAGTTTGTAGTATGTTCCTGTTCCTATCTAGCAGTTTTTAATATTTATTAGACTGTAGTCCTCAGCTCCTAGTATTTACTACACCCTAGTCCTTAATTCTTGGTATCTAATAATCCCTAGTCACTGGTTCCTAGTATTTACCTGTTCCCAATATTTATTAGTCCCTAGTCTTCAATGCATAGTAACTAATAATTCCTAGTCTCTAGTTCGTAAGTTATACTAGTCTCTAGTCCCCATTAATTCACAGTACTTACTAGTCCCTAATTTCTATTGGTTCCTTGTCTGTACTAGTTCCTCCTTCCTAGTCCCTAGATCCTAGTATCTACTAATTCCTAACTCCTACCTTCTATCAGTCTCTAATTCTTTTTTAGTTTTTACTCCCCATTAATCCCTAAGTTCCTAGTCCCTAGCGCCTAGTCTGTACTAGTCCTTACTAATCACTATTACCATCTACACCCCAATCTCTAGACAATAGTCATTAGTCCCTAGTCTTATCTTTCAAATCCATAATTTAATCTAGTTATAATTAATCAATTAATATACGTACTTTATGGAACTCTGGTTGTATAGTAACTTGAGTTATACCCATCTCTATAAAGAAAGCAGTCACCTGATCAGTAATACTAGCATAAACCTGCAACAAGAAAATTTTGTAATCAACTGCATTAATTAACCTATAAAGTTAATCTAGTTAACTCCTTAACCTACGATTTACGCTCGAGAATTTTGGGCCGGAAACGTAATGTTTATGTTTGGCCCGATCATCGTATACGGGCTATGCCCGTAATTGTAGGTTAAGGGGTTAAGTAACAAATTTACCATTGGGTCCAAAAATATTATGTGCACAGTAGATATTATCTTCTGTCCTGTTAGCTGCCATACGTGCAAATCGTGGACGTTTACTATGCCCGGGAATGCCTCCAATAATTCCCTTTTTAGAGAATCAATGTTTATGTGATTTGGTATTGTTTGAAGCAGAATTAAGCCAGATTCCTTCACTGTTAGATCAAAACGAAGTTAATTATCTTTTTCCGATATCTAATTATCTAATACAGCTTATGATAACTTAACTTAATTATGAAATTTAAGATAACTTAATTTGTAATTTAAGAGCAAAAATAAGTAAGGCTGTAAGTACCAGAATTCGTAAAGTAACTTTTTGTCAATTAAAATGTTCTGTATTGATAACGTATGTCGAAACTTGTCATATTTCAAAAAAATAAGGATAATTGCAACAACACTTTCATTCATATTTACTGATATCGATCATCATACAAATACAATTTTCATAAATGGAAATGGACTTTTGAAAAAGTGGTACTCATTTTAGTAAATATTAACAAAAAGAGGCTCAGCCTCGATGACATTGACATATACATATTATTAAGGACATGTTACTAAGTAACTTTTCTTTATAACTTAATCGTTTTATTGTACGTTAAAAAGTTATTAATCATAAAAGATTTGTAAAATCAACGTATGTACGTCATCTGACAAGGAAAAACTTGATGATTTTGGCAACGATTTAGTATTTAGTTCCACACCTATCAGGAGGAATATAACGGGTAAATTTATGAATCAAGGTGAACAGATTTCAATCATTTTGAATTTGAGAGCATGTGACCTGACGAATGCTATTCTAATCTAGCCCAAATTAACATGTTTTATATTATAATTAAAAATGAATGTTAAAGAATACCATGAATTATGGAACATGTTAGGTTGGGTTAGGTCAGCTTAGAATAATATACTTTTAAGTATATTACTAATAGAATAATATATTTTTAAATAAAATACTTTTGTAAATATTTTTTCTTTAATAACTTTGTAAGAAACAGCAAGCGACGATTAAGTTATGAGGAACAGTTACTTAGGATGACCTTGGTCAAGATCATTGGGGCGTGGTCCTTCTTTATCAATATTTACCGCCATTTTTATTATTCAATCAAGGAACTTACTATATGGATAGCTGAGGACGAAGAGAGAAATCGAAGAAATAATGGCGAAAAGTGGATCTATGTACTTGGCTACATTCGAGTCAGTGAAATACACCAAAATGGATACCAGAATTACGAAAATGCAGCCTAGTACGTCACGGCAAGTTTCCCGAAAACCCTGACTCTTTGGTATTCCCAATGGACTTCTTCTGGTTTGCGTTGATAACTGCTGTTCACCTTCCTTTGTTTGCTGCGAGCTAACATTTCTGAAAATAGATAATGCGCGTCTTAGATATGATTAGAAGAAGCGAATTTCTGTTCTGAGATTGTTTGAGTAGCTGGTAAAAGTTGCTCGAAATGTATTCAGACTGAATGTAATTTACGTTTTAACTGTCTGGTTACAGCTGTCACGTTCTTATTCGTAATTAACACGTTTAATGCGGGTGTTTTAATCTTATTTATACATTGTATCAAATACTAATTATGATTTAACGATTAATAGCTTTAGAATTGTTTCATGGATATAGTAATGTATTTTCTTGTTAATAAAATATTAAAACATATATTACATAGATTATGTTTAAATTACATAATTGTCATACATATTGTTTATTCGTCAAGCGATTTAAAGATAAGAATATAACCAATTATAAAGCAATTAGTTATATAACTAACAGCAAGTATGAAGTATCTGATCAATTTTATTTAATACTATAAATAGCATTCTTTAGTGCGTATATTTATTATTGTATCTATTTTTTATGTTCTAAAAATTGTTTAGTCTATGTTTAAACATTATTTATGTACATTTCATACTGCTTTGAAAATTACTTAATATGTTTTAAAATAATATATATATATTATCATACGGTTTTGAGATGTTTTAAAATATTTACCATATCTGAAAATTACTTATACATAAAAACATACACCATATATATCATGTGCTTCCGCCTTGATTACAAATTGTGAAATGAAAAAAAAAGATGGAGATAAATAAATTAAACAATGAAACTTGTTATGATTCTACATATAATAGCTATAAAAGAAACTTGTTGTGATTCTATAACACTTATAAAAGAAATTTGTTATGATTGTACAACAACTATAAAAGATACTTATTATGATTCTATTCACTATTCTGTTCACTAATGAAGTAGGGTAAGTTCGTAAACGGGGCAAGTGCGTATACAGGCTATTTTTATTACAATATGAGCGAAATTTCTCCATTTAGTATGTTTGTTTCCTTGTTTTGTTTCACTACATCCTCTTTTATATTTCAGCTAAGAGTTCTTGTTTGCAGTATAGAGTACTTGCATAATGCAGTAAAAAGCATTTTATAGTAGATTTGTTAACATGCATGTTCTAGAACTAAAGTTACAGATAGTATAATTAGTAATGTAGAAATGTGACAGTAATATAGATAATACTGCTGCTACATAAGAAATATGGTTAAATCAGCAGATTGACATTGCTTTGAGACCTAACGTTAACATCTAATTTTTTGTAATTTTAACGGAACAATACCTGCAATCATTTGAATTGTAGTTAAAAGTCGATCTAATAAAAAATCATATACTAACATAAAATTGCTTTTGGCGACTTTTCAAATTTAAATTTTATAGCTCAAACTTTGGTAGGATTATTTTTACACAATAAGTATATGTTTAGAAAAAGAAACAAATTTTGTGTGCCACCGTAATAAGAATATAAGAATATAAAAGTACAAGTGCAACGCTAATTGCTTTAAAAATTATTTCAAATCAAACTCAATAGTAATTCTTGTTGGAAGAAATAGAAGCGTTGTTGCATATCCAAACGGTGTGGGACTAAATAAGAACGTTCATGTATACATTTGCTACAGGGTCATGGCTGTGAAAGAATGGTTCAGAAGATTGCAGCCGGTCCAGTTGTACCTAGTCCTGTTCTTTACAACTGCCTTCTTCGTCGTCGAGATTGTTGCCAGCCATGTCACTCACTCACTGACATTACTTCTCAATGCCTATCACATGCTGTGTAATATCATTGCACTTGCCGGCTGCATCGCGTCGATCAAGGTAAGTTCTATTATTTTTATTATGAATCATCCTGGATTATTGTAAAAACCAGTGATTTTACTGTTTTTAGGTTGACCTTTATTGTTTAGATATAGTAATAATAACAATTGTAATAACAGTAATAGGGATCTTTAATAATAATAATTACTACAATAATTATTATAATTACTATTTATATTTTAATAATAATTATTATTATTATTACAATTATTATTATTTCTAAAAAATGAATGTCAACCTCGTTTAAAATTAGTGAAATCACTGGTTTTTAATACAGTTCTTTAACAATAGTAATAATAGTAATATTGGTATACGACAATAGTACTAATAGTGATATTGATCTTCGATAATAGTAATAATGACAATCGTTATGATACTAATATGTAAGGTGAAGTGGGGTAAGTTCGTAAATGGGGCAAGTGTGTATACAGGCTATTTTTATTACAATATGAGCGAAATTTCTCCATTTAGTACGTTTGTTTCCTTGTTTTGTTTCACTATATCCCCTTTTATATTTCAGCTAAGAGTACTTGTTTGCAGCATAGAGTACTTGCATAATGCAGTAAAAAGCATTTTATAGTAGATTTGTTAACAATTCTGCTCTTGCCCCATTGCACATGAAATAAAGTTTCAAAGTATTTAACTTCAAATTACGCTCTTACCCTATTTTCGGGGAAAGTGCAGAGTAGTTGACATTTTAAACAATTTCCTATCAAAATCAAAATGTACAAGGAAAATTAAGTTCCTAGTTAATATTAATTAAATAGTACTAACTGTGCAAAGCGTTCGATATCGACAGCGTTAAGTATTTACATAGCAGACTGAAAATATTTACGTTTAAATACCAACTTTACAAAAACCAGTCTGCACTTACCCCACTTTACCTTCTACAAGAAACTAGTTATGATTTAAATTTCAAAGATTTATTGAAAGTTTATAAAATTACCTCCGTAGAATGACGTCTCCGTTCATGGTAACATGTAAAACAATTCCCTGATTAAAGGTGTATCCTCCGATTAGTATGTAACAAAAGGCGTTCAAAAGAATGCCAGATGCACCGATCGCTAAAACCGGCATCGGATGATGCATTTCGTCCAGATGATCAATGTGTACCAGAGTCTGCAAAGCTTCCACCAGCAACGAAAAACAAAATGACGCCAGCAAAACACAGCAGATTAACATTGTAACGATATCTATCCTGGCCCAGCCAAAAGTATTCTTCATTCTTCTATCCGATCGTGATTGCTAATCAAGTAAATTAAATAAATAACATTCGTTTGGTGTATATCATATTTTGGATATGGATTATTTGCGTTGAGCAGTGAGAAAAAGTATTATTTATAGTGCTTTGGGTACAGGAATTTGGAGATATAGTAGTTTGGATATTTAAAAATTAGGGGGCTTATGGATTTGGATATTTTGGAATGTGGAGATTTGGAGATTTCAACATTTAGACATTTGGAGATTTAGAGATTTGGTGTTCAAAAGTTTGAAGATTTAAAGGTTTGAATATTTAAGAATTTGGAGATTTAGAGATTTTGATATGTAAAAATATGAAGATATAGGAATTGGATATTTAGGAATATGGAGTTTGAGAATTTGAGTATTTAGAAATTTTGTATATCTTTTATTTAGAAATGTGAGAATTTCAGGATTTAAAGATTCGGAGACTTGAAGACTTAAAAATTGTAAATCCAGAAATTTGAGAATTTAAGAATCTTCAAATTTTCAGTTGTGAGAAAAATTTGAAATGTTACATAGAATTATGGGATTTGAGTAAATTTCCAATTTGAAAATTTGAGAACTTAAGGATTTGGTAATTTAGAAATTGAAGAAAAATTAAAAATTTAGTGATTCATAAATTAAAGTAATTAATTAATTGTAAACAATAAATGTAGGATGAAACATTACGATTAACAAGCTTGACATCAATAAATTATAAATTTAAAAAATTTATCGAGTACTATATGATAAGAATAATGCCAAAAGGATTATTAAAAAAATAATTTATATTAAATTTAATAAACTGATTCTTACCTTAGTCTTTGTCGACAAAGATGTCGAGGAACCTCGTTCTTCGCCATTTATACAAATGGAGGAATTATGTACTGAACTGCAAATACTGTTTCCACTGTAACTGCTTCCACTTTGACGACGGCTATACTAAAAAAATAGACGACTAGTATGTATTATTGAACTCTAATCATTGCAATAAAAATGTAGCACTTAAAGTATTTTTTTACAGATTGCATAGGTATTTAGAATACAGAATAGTCAATTATCATTAACATTTCGTAATTTATTTACATTCGTCACTTTTCATAATTTTATCCTAAAAGATTCCTATGTAAACATATTTCAGTTTGCGACTTCCAATTATTACAAATCATATAATACAGTAGACTGTTGTTATATTGCAACAAACAAGGTTGCAGCAGTAGAACATTATTATACTTGGTAATATTCTTTCGTGCAATGAGCGAAAGTTTGTAGCGTTAATAATTCTTAAAATTCTACAATTTCTAAGATTCTTAAATTAAGAAATTGTTTAATTTCTAAATTTCTAAATTGCTCAATTTAAAAATCAGAAAACTCGGATGTTTTTAAACTGCGAAATTAAAAATTTGAAATTAATTACAATTTTGGAACTTATAAATTATTATTTTGTTCAAGTTTTACAAATTAGTTACAGTAATTAATTTTAAATGGGAAGATAGATTCTTCTTATTTGAAAAATTTATTTGTATAATTTAAGTAGCAATCGTTTGTCCTCGTTTTAAAATAAAATTACTTTAAAATAAAGATACTCTGTTGATTAGACTGTTCAACAAATATAAACTTTTTATATATTTTGCAATTCTGTTTTCGAATTCTTGTTTAGAAGAAGAATCTCTACAAGGATTCACCAAATGAGGGTTAAAAAACAAAATTCGTGTTGAACAGTATTATCAGTTACTATTATTAAAGATCTCTATTACTGTTATTATTATTACTATTATCAGGGATAAGGTGAAGTGGGGTATGTCCAGACTGGTTTTTGTAAAGTTGGTATTTAAACGTAAGTATTTTCAGTCTGCTATGTAAATACTTAAACGCTATCGATATCAAGCGCTTTGCACAATTACTACTATTTAATTAATATTAACTAGGACCTTAATTTTCCTTGTACATTTTAATTTTGATAGGAAATTGTTTAAAATGTCAACTACTCTGCACTTTCCCTGAAAATAGGGTAAGAGCGTAATTTGAAGTTAAATACTTTGAAACTTTATTTCATGTGCAATGGGGCAAGAGCAGAATTATTAACAAATCTACTATAAAATGCTTTTTACTGCATTATGCAAGTACTCTATACTGCAAACAAGTACTCTTAGCTGAAATATAAAAGAGGATGTAGTGAAACAAAACAAGGAAACAAACATACTCTAATCATTGCAATAAAAATGTAGCACTTAAAGTATTTTTTTACAGATTGCATAGGTATTTAGAATACAGAATAGTCAATTATCATTAACATTTCGTAATTTATTTACATTCGTCACTTTTCATAATTTTATCCTAAAAGATTCCTATGTAAACATATTTCAGTTTGCGACTTCCAATTATTACAAATCATATAATACAGTAGACTGTTGTTATATTGCAACAAACAAGGTTGCAGCAGTAGAACATTATTATACTTGGTAATATTCTTTCGTGCAATGAGCGAAAGTTTGTAGCGTTAATAATTCTTAAAATTCTACAATTTCTAAGATTCTTAAATTAAGAAATTGTTTAATTTCTAAATTTCTAAATTGCTCAATTTAAAAATCAGAAAACTCGGATGTTTTTAAACTGCGAAATTAAAAATTTGAAATTAATTACAATTTTGGAACTTATAAATTATTATTTTGTTCAAGTTTTACAAATTAGTTACAGTAATTAATTTTAAATGGGAAGATAGATTCTTCTTATTTGAAAAATTTATTTGTATAATTTAAGTAGCAATCGTTTGTCCTCGTTTTAAAATAAAATTACTTTAAAATAAAGATACTCTGTTGATTAGACTGTTCAACAAATATAAACTTTTTATATATTTTGCAATTCTGTTTTCGAATTCTTGTTTAGAAGAAGAATCTCTACAAGGATTCACCAAATGAGGGTTAAAAAACAAAATTCGTGTTGAACAGTATTATCAGTTACTATTATTAAAGATCTCTATTACTGTTATTATTATTACTATTATCAGGGATAAGGTGAAGTGGGGTATGTCCAGACTGGTTTTTGTAAAGTTGGTATTTAAACGTAAGTATTTTCAGTCTGCTATGTAAATACTTAAACGCTATCGATATCAAGCGCTTTGCACAATTACTACTATTTAATTAATATTAACTAGGACCTTAATTTTCCTTGTACATTTTAATTTTGATAGGAAATTGTTTAAAATGTCAACTACTCTGCACTTTCCCTGAAAATAGGGTAAGAGCGTAATTTGAAGTTAAATACTTTGAAACTTTATTTCATGTGCAATGGGGCAAGAGCAGAATTATTAACAAATCTACTATAAAATGCTTTTTACTGCATTATGCAAGTACTCTATACTGCAAACAAGTACTCTTAGCTGAAATATAAAAGAGGATGTAGTGAAACAAAACAAGGAAACAAACATACTGAATGCAGAAATTTCGCTCATATTGTAATAAAAATAGCCTATATACACACTTGCCCCATTTACGAACTTACCCCACTTCACCTTACATATTAGTATCATAACGATTGTCATTATTACTATTATCGAAGATCAATATCACTATTAGTACTATTGTCGTATACCAATATTACTATTATTACTATTGTTAAAGAACTGTATTAAAAACCAGTGATTTCACTAATTTTAAACGAGGTTGACATTCATTTTTTAGAAATAATAATAATTGTAATAATAATAATAATTATTATTAAAATATAAATAGTAATTATAATAATTATTGTAGTAATTATTATTATTAAAGATCCCTATTACTGTTATTACAATTGTTATTATTACTATATCTAAACAATAAAGGTCAACCTAAAAACAGTAAAATCACTGGTTTTTACAATAATCCAGGATGATTCATAATAAAAATAATAGAACTTACCTTGATCGACGCGATGCAGCCGGCAAGTGCAATGATATTACACAGCATGTGATAGGCATTGAGAAGTAATGTCAGTGAGTGAGTGACATGGCTGGCAACAATCTCGACGACGAAGAAGGCAGTTGTAAAGAACAGGACTAGGTACAACTGGACCGGCTGCAATCTTCTGAACCATTCTTTCACAGCCATGACCCTGTAGCAAATGTATACATGAACGTTCTTATTTAGTCCCACACCGTTTGGATATGCAACAACGCTTCTATTTCTTCCAACAAGAATTACTATTGAGTTTGATTTGAAATAATTTTTAAAGCAATTAGCGTTGCACTTGTACTTTTATATTCTTATATTCTTATTACGGTGGCACACAAAATTTGTTTCTTTTTCTAAACATATACTTATTGTGTAAAAATAATCCTACCAAAGTTTGAGCTATAAAATTTAAATTTGAAAAGTCGCCAAAAGCAATTTTATGTTAGTATATGATTTTTTATTAGATCGACTTTTAACTACAATTCAAATGATTGCAGGTATTGTTCCGTTAAAATTACAAAAAATTAGATGTTAACGTTAGGTCTCAAAGCAATGTCAATCTGCTGATTTAACCATATTTCTTATGTAGCAGCAGTATTATCTATATTACTGTCACATTTCTACATTACTAATTATACTATCTGTAACTTTAGTTCTAGAACATGCATGATTATTTACAGGAATAGTTTTATAACTTTCGCAAACCAAAACAAACATTTGGAATGATATAGTGCAGCATCAGGTATACTATACATGAATTTTTCGATACAACATTCTAATCTTTATAAAAAAAATGTAATATAACATTGCCAAACATAGTGTTTGATTTATCCATTTGTAACGGTTGCAAGAGTCCATTATACTTGGAACTAATTTTTAAATAAAATACCCTAAAATGGAAACTTTAACACCGTGCATGCCATTTACTAAGAAAAATTAAAGTAATAAAAGTATAAAACAAGAAATGAAAATGACAATACGTAAATTGAATAAATCTCATCTACTGATAAAAAAGAAATCATTTTTTGACAAATCCGATACAAAATTATTATAAAATAAAAAATATATGAATTAAAATAAAATAAGAACTGTAATAATGAGATAATTTAAACAAAGTCATCTTATTTGTTCGTTGAATTATGAGAGTACAAATAGGATCAATGTTAAGCAACGTACGTTGACGTAACTTCGTTTACGTTTGAGAACATCACCCACGGTTACAATAATATACCATAATCAACGTTTTCATCGTTGTTCAAATGGCCTATCACAAATTTACGAAGCGTGAAGCATGAATTCATCATAATGGGTCTCGTCACAAGCATGAAACACCACGTAACTCCGCTAGAAACTACATTTCCATCAAACAGTCAATACGACAAAAATTACAACACCGAAAAATGGTTTTGTTGATCGAATTCTAGTCGATTACGGTTTTGGGAAAAATAATACACTTTTTTGTTTTAAGGTACATTAATTTTTAATTTTTTAATGTTTAATTTTTCAATTTTTTGACTCACTGATTTTTCAATTTTGTTTTATACACAATTTATTACTTAATCAATTAATCTATTCTTTTCATTTTTAATTCGTTAATTAAGAATTAATCTATATTTTGTAGTTTTTAATTATTCGACTAATCAATTTGTTATCATTTTTTATTGGTTAATTAATCAATTTTTTATATTTACAGTTAAGTAATTAACCGATTATTCTATTCTTTTAATTCTGAATTAATTAATTAACGAATTAATCCATTTTCATAACTTTCAATTAATTAATTGACCAGTTAATCAATTTAAAGAACTTTCCAAGTAATAAAATTTCAAAATTTTCAAACTTTCAATTGCTCAAGATTCCAGATTATCAAACTTGTTAACTAACAAATTCTTGAAATTACAACTTCTGAATTGCTCAAATATACAAATTTCCAAATTCTCAAAGTAAAACTCTCAAGCTTCCAACTTGTTAAATTTTCACGTTCTCAAATTGTCAAATTAACAACTTCAAAAACTGTCAAAGACTGAAATTTCAACTTTTCCATATTTTCAAGTCCTTAGTCCACTAATTTGGAAATCTTATAGTACCCAATTTTTCAAATCTGCAAATTCAAAAATTTTCTTATTCCTAAATTCCTAAATTTCCAAATCTCCAAATCTTGAATTGTCAATATGACAATGATTTCTGCAATGGTGGAGTCACTCCCTACCACAACTACACCGGTGTCTATCTCTAAGCTAGAATCCAAGGATATTTAACGCTAAACCTATGGACATGTACACTTCAAAATAAAAAATGAAGTTGAATAATAAATAAACAAACCATAAGATTAATATACACGATAATCCTTTATCCTGACAAAAGTCAACACATATTTCAAGAAAGGTGCTTTAACAAATGTTTAATTTAATTATTTAAAATAAGAAAAGTATAAAACGTTCATTTGATAATTTCAGCGTTAAAACAAATAGCACAAAAGATCTCGAATTTAATGACAAACCCATTTAAATTCACTTTACAGTTACCCTGATATTAAAAAATGAATATTAAATCGAAAATCTGTACACTCAGATGATCAGCCACATTGCATCTGACCGAAACAAAATTACTTCACACAGACAAACATTAAGCTAATGTCAGTCACCGTAACATCACGCACTGTACTTCGTAACACTTTTCATCTTACCATAGAAACAGGTTGATATAAATATGAACGTTGTTTACTTGATAAGGCATCCCCGACAACCTCGACAAGATGTAACAGCCGAGTGACACTATCGAAATGGCAGAAGAAACGCGATTCAGCTGGCGGATGTGGCTGTCGCTCGAGCGATACAGAAAACGAACAACAACGGATACCGCACTATTATCGCCAACGATAGAAATAAATATGTTCATATTCGATTGACACAGTTCGTGAAACCAGGGATGAACATCGAGGCAACGAAACGATGTTTTCGAAGTTGAATAAAGCATGCTAGAAATGCGGTATTTGGAGATGAGATGCAGGTATGGGGTGCACACGACCGTATTCAGGTTTTTGGGATCCTGGGATAACAAGTTTGATGTTAGTGTTAAATATATGACTGTGTTAATTTGCCATTTGGGAAAATAATTAATCGTTTTATAGACGATATTATGTGTGAAAATCTAATTTAACTTTGTTGATGTCTCACATGTGAAAATAATTAATCTTTTTATAAGTGATAGAATGCGTAAAAATCAAATTTGATTCTGTTATTTTGCTATGTGGAAAAATAATTTATTATTTCATAGGTGATATAATGCGTGAAAATTTAATTTAACCTTGTTATTTTGTCACGTGTGAAAGTAATTAATCATTTTATAGGTGATAATATAATGAGTGAAAATCTAATTTAACCTTGTTATCTTGTTAGATGGGAAAATAATTAATCGTTTTATATATGATAGCATGCGTGAAAATCAAATTCTATTATGTAATTATAAAAACAATTTTGTAAACGTCAAGTGGGAGTATTACAAATTTATATAGTTTCGTCACGTGTTAATTTGTAATAGAGAAAGTGATTGATTGTGGACGAATTTCTAAATTGATGGCCGGTAGCAAACGTGTCAATACTTATGTGTGGATAGCGTAAGTATATGGGTGTACTATGGTGAATAGGTAGCACTTATGCTTGGAGGTTTGGGAATTTAGCTATGCGAGAATTTGAGGGAATGGAATTTGGAATTTTGAAAATGTAGTAGTTGAGAAATTTAAGAATTTTGTGATGTAAGAAATTAGAAATTTAGGAATTTAGGACTTTGGGAATTTACGAATTTACGAATGGAAATTAGAAAATTAGGGACTTGAAAATCAAAAAAATCGGGATTTGGAAATTTAGGAACATAAAAATTTGACGATGACTACAGCATAAATATGTAAAATATTAAGTAAAGACGTAAAATAAAAATTTTTCTGTTTTAGCTATATTTTAATAACAATCGTTGCATAATATCTAGAGTTAAAGTTAAAGTAATAATAGGATAAGAATATTTTCTGTCTAATAACAAGAATTTGGAAAATGAGAATTGCTGAATAACAAGGGCCCCTAGAAGGTGAATCACGGGGTTGTTGTCTCCGTAGCCTCCCCCCCTAGCCCCCCTTAATCCGTGCTTGAGTGAACCGTAAATCATGAGCCAAGACCGGATTGATAATATATATGATACCAGCCGAATCTATTTTTTACGCCATCTACCTGATTCTCTAGCTAATACTTCTATGAATGAGTGTTGAGAAAATGATAATTCTATATCATTCTGGATTCTATACCAGTTAATTCTATAACTATATAATATTTAATAATGAAAGATAAGTGGTAATTTGTGGGACACATTCGTCGGTTATTAGGACTTTTTTAATTTATTGCCTTGCAAGGACTTGGAAATGTTATTAAAAATAATTTTTTAAATTCTGAAATCCTGCACGCACGCATTTTTAAATATTCTTTAAAGTTTTCAAATTCTTTTAAATTCTTTAAAACTTAAAAATTTCAAAATTATATAAATTTCCAATATTTCCAATTGCAGAATTTCGAAATTCTTTAGATCTCAAATTCTTAAATGCTTGGTGTATCTTTAAATTGTTACAACCCTATATTGTTATATTCCAGAATTACTATCCTAAGTTGCTATATTCTCAAATTACTACATTTCTATATTGTCATATTCCCAATTACTACTACCCAAAATTACTATTAATCCAAATTGTCATATCCTGAAATTACTAGATTCTTAAACTGTTATATTCCCAAATTAGTACATCCCTAAAATGTCATATTACAAAATTGACATATCTCCAAATCACTACATCTCCAAATTAGTACTAATCTGTATTTTCATTTCCCTAAATTGTTACGTCACTAAATTACTACATTTCAAAATTGGCATATACCCAAATGACTACATTCCAAAATTTTTATTTCTCCAAATTACTACTTTCCCAAAATGTCATATATCCTAAATTATTACTACCCCAAATCCAAATTGTCATATCCTCCAATTACTAGATTCTCAATCTATTATATTCCCAAATTACTACATCCCCAAAATGTCACATATCCTAATTGTCATATCCTTACATTATGTTCCGAAATTACTACATCCCTAAATCATAATAAATAAAATACTATCCCCAAAGTACAACATCCCCAAATTTCCACATCCGTACCATTTTCCCACCACAACACTGCACATGTTCGAATGATCAAAAGATATATGTACATATTTATAAACATATACATATGCATATTTACATTATCACAAAACAAGCATATATATTATCAAACAAGAAATGTAGACATCATATGACATTTTAGTAGTTCAATATACTTGAAGAGATTAGCGCACTAGTACCTGCAGGATTGTCACTTCGTTGCAGATACAGTCACAAATGAACTTGTCACTTCCATCTTCAAATTTCAATCTCTTTTTCCATGCATTTTTTTTTGTCTATAAAACTTGTGTTAAATTAAACGATATAACAGAGAATTACAATGTTCTTTTTTAATAGAAGATCGGATAACGCGGCGTCACGGGACGAAGAGGAGACAACGCGAACGAAACGGTTCAACAGACAAAACTATATTGACGAGGATGCTACTAACATCAAGCTCGTGAACTCGGATTGCTCGTCAACATGATATATAGCATATATACAGTATTCACTCACTAAGTACCTCGATAAGTCCTTTGCAAACTGTTGCTACCTTGTTACTCCATAAAATTGAACGATCTATTGTTCTTTCGGGTCGTCTTTGACCAGCTATGAATCACCATAACGAGCAAAACAATTAGATTCATAGTATTTTTGGAGTTACCAAAAAATAACGGGTATAGTTGAACAACGAAAGTGTGGGAAGTCAATTTTTAATTGGTACAATTTTTAATTTAAGAATTTGGAAATTTTTTATTTTTTTCAAGCTAGGAACACTTTAGATTGTAAATTATTAAATTTACAAATTTGTTGATTTGTATAGTTTGAAATTTGGGAAGTTGAGAATTTGGGGATTTAGGAATTTGGTACTTGGAGAAATTTGAAAATTTTAAGAATTGGAAATTTTGGAATTTGAGAATATGAAAGCTCGGAAATGTAAGTATTTGAAATATAAGGTTTTGAAAATTTAGGTATTTGAAAAATTGAAAATTTGTAAATTTGGGATTTAAAAAATGGTAAATTGGAAATTTGAAAATATGAGAAATGGAAAATAAAGATTGGAAAAACTGAAAAAATTAGGAAACTAGAAAACTGGAAAACTAGAAAACTAGAAAATTAGGAAACTACAAATTTAGAAAACTAAAAAAACTGTAAAACTGGAAAACTAGAAAACTAGAAAACAAGAAAACTAGAAAACTAGAAAACTAGAAAACTAGAAAACTAGAAAACTAGAAAACTAGAAAACTAGAAAACTAGAAAACTAGAAAACTAGAAAACTAGAAAACTAGAAAACTAGAAAACTAGAAAACTAGAAAACTAGAAAACTAGAAAACTAGAAAACTAGAAAACTAGAAAACTAGAAAACTAGAAAACTAGAAAACTAGAAAACTAGAAAACTAGAAAACTAGAAAACTAGAAAACTAGAAAACTAGAAAACTAGAAAACTAGAAAACTAGAAAACTAGAAAACTAGAAAACTAGAAAACTAGAAAACTAGAAAACTAGAAAACTAGAAAACTAGAAAACTAGAAAACTAGAAAACTAGAAAACTAGAAAACTAGAAAACTAGAAAACTAGAAAACTAGAAAACTAGAAAACTAGAAAACTAGAAAACTAAAAAACTAGAAAATTAGGAAACTAGAAATTTAGAAAACTAAATAACTAAAAAAACTCGCAAACTAAAAAAACTCGGAAACTAGAAAACTAGAAAACTAGAAAACTAGAAAACTAGAAAACTAGAAAACTAGAAAACTAGAAAACTAGAAAACTAGAAAACTAGAAAACTAGAAAACTAGAAAACTAGAAAACTAGAAAACTAGAAAACTAGAAAACTAGAAAACTAGAAAACTAGAAAACTAGAAAACTAGAAAACTAGAAAACTAGAAAACTAGAAAACTAGAAAACTAGAAAACTAGAAAACTAGAAAACTAGAAAACTAGAAAACTAGAAAACTAGAAAACTAGAAAACTAGAAAACTAGAAAACTAGAAAACTAGAAAACTAGAAAACTAGAAAACTAGAAAACTAGAAAACTAGAAAACTAGAAAACTAGAAAACTAGAAAACTAGAAAACTAGAAAACTAGAAAACTAGAAAACTAGAAAACTAGAAAACTAGAAAACTAGAAAACTAGAAAACTAGAAAACTAGAAAACTAGAAAACTAGAAAACTAGAAAACTAGAAAACTAGAAAACTAGAAAACTAGAAAACTAGAAAACTAGAAAACTAGAAAACTAGAAAACTAGAAAACTAGAAAACTAGAAAACTAGAAAACTAGAAAACTAGAAAACTAGAAAACTAGAAAATTAGGAAACTAGAAAACTGAAAAGCTAAAAAACCATAAAAATAAAAAATTAAAAAACTATGAAACTAAGAAACCATAAAACTAAAAAACTAGAAAACCACACAATCAAACATTATAAAATTAGAAAATAATAAAATAAAAAAAATTAGTAAATTAGACTTCTCTCTTCAAAAAAAATAACGATCGTCAAAATGATATTAAACATAAATCACATCCATCAAATTATTGCAAAATTCAAGAAATAATGCAATCTTATTAGCAAAACTAGTACTAACCTCGTTCGTTGCATTTGCACAGAAACGTGTTGAAAACAGATTAAAGTTTCACCTTATCTCTATAAATAACTCTGTCGTCTACATTCTTGCTTGAATTTGAATTTTTTCATTTGAATTTGAAATAAAAATTCGGAAGGAACTATAGCGTCAATAAAAATCAATTCATAAATTAATTGATTATTTAATAAACATTTAATTACAAACGATTAATAAACGTTTACACATTGCCTCTTTAAATTAAACTTGTTAATTTAAAAATTGTTAATTATATACTGTAAATAAACTGATATATATTGTATATCTGCGAGTATCGACAATGTATTTATTTATTCAAATTATCAAACCAAAAGTTTAGTACCGCAATGGCAAGATAAGAAGTTTATTATGTTAGATTTCCATTTCCTCGAGCGAAACACTGTTTGTCAAAATTTGTTCTGGCCAGTCATCCCTGCTAGTCATTTCTTTGTTAACTTTCACTGACGTGTCTCGTGAACTAATCTGTACAGTTCAATTTAAATGAATTATGTATTCCGTTGTTCCTTTTATACCTGTGTGACAACTGGTCAAACAGGCTTATTCATATTTCATTCATCATATTATCTGCTTATCAGTAAATAATATGTGAATATGCAAAACTTTCCATCACTCATTTATAAATAGTTGCATGAAACACTTTATGGTAGAAAAACAAAATGTGAGTGCATTTCTTTATATTCTCTATATTTATTTATTTTTGGAAAATTTCTATATTAATGGGTTAAGTTAGGTTCCGTTTGTATTCGAAAATTTTAACGCACATGTATCTCTATATCCCAAAATCTCTACGCATATAAATTATTATATCTCCAAATTTTTATGGACACAAATTCCTATATCTCCAAATTTCTTTCCCTTAAAATCCATATATTCCTAAATTTCTATATATCTAAATCCCTATATTCCCAAATCTTTATGTCCCCAAATCTCTGAAAAGCCAAATACTTATATCCTCAAATTTGTACATCATCAAATCCCTGTACCTCAAATTTCTACATTACTGAATTTCTATTCCTCTAAATACCTATACTCTCAAGTCTCTACATATCTAAATTTCTATATTCCCAAATACTTATATCCTTAAGTCTTTACAAACCCAAATCCTTATATCCCCAAATCTCTGTACCACAAAATTTCTATATTACATGTCGTACATTCTCGAATTTTTATGCCCCTGCAATCTCTACATTCTCAAATTTCTACATACCTAAATCTCTGTATCTCCAAATCTCTACACCACCAAATCCCTATACCCCAAATTTCTATATTCCCGAATTTTTATGCCCCGAAATTGCTATATTCTCAAATCTCTACAAATCCAAATCTCTACGCACACAAATCCTTCTATCGCTAAATTTCTACATTATTGAATTTCTACGCCCCGAAATCCCAACATTCTCAAGTCTCTACGTACCTAAATCTCTACATCTCTAAATTTCCATAAATCTCTAAATTTAGAGATATTTAATATCTCTAAATTCCAATATCTCTGAATCCCTAATATACTAATTCAATTCTTTTATTTTTTATATCAACTGTATCCCCATTATAATTCTACAATCTTTCTAATTTACTACATTCGTTTGATTTATTATATGTATAAATCACATTCCCATTACAATTCTACAAACGTCCAAACTAATTTCATTAGAATGGTAATTATAATTGCTACCTTATCAGCGATTTATCAATGATTATTTAATCTAAGCAAATAGATTTTTTTATCGGAACATCTTTCAAGTGCAAAATGGAACGATAATATTTTCTCGTCGCAATTTGTGTCACGAATAAATTTTCATGATTTTTCTTACAATCTTTTACTTAAAATACTTGTCCTTGATCAACTTTATCACGTTACTCGTGCATCTTATCGTTCTCTGTTTTAAAAAATATTATACGACGTCACGAATTTTTGGAATTTTGTAATATATTGGTCAAACAGTCAGTTAAATTTTTTTTCAGTAGCATTATTAATTTTATTATACACCGTATGAATACTATTTCAACTTTTATACAAATCATCGGAGAATACAGTACACGTAGTCTCTAGTTCAATTTTAACACTATATACGTGTTATGTGCAGATTCTATGAAATCTAATCCTTGCAATATTTATTTGGTGGTACTTATTACAGATCGCTGAGAATATCATTTAATAATTAATTTTTATATTGCAGTTTGCATCAGAATAAACAAAAGTAGTAAAAAATGAAAAATCAAAACCACAATTACGTGAGTGTAACCATCAAAGTGTTTAATTCACGTGATCGAAGTTAAAGTTTATTCCTAGTCAGCAGTTGCTTTATGAAATCTGCGATGTTCTTTCCAAAGAAACTGTTACACAAATAAAGTAGGTATGTACTAACAGGTGCAATCAAAAGTCACAAACATTCACACGGTCCATCAAACGTGTCATTCATCATCAAGTACAGAATCGCATACAAGTTAGTGACACACTTTAAAGTTATATACGTGTATGTATCGAGGATAGGTGTATTAAATGTGGGGGCCATCAGAGAGTTAGTTGCGAACATCCGGTCACCATAATAGCCTTTGAACTTTGAAATGTCCGCTTCGACGATCATTATTGTCGTCTTGAAACCACTTTGTTAAAACATCCTTATTGTCACTGGTTGCTTGAAATCATCATCTAATTATTTACTAGTCATCTAATTATTTAGTAGCCACTAATGATCAACATTTAGGTAGTTACAGCAGTTATGTAATAATTGCCAACCACTAATCATCATATAACTACTACTAGTTATTAGTAATCGTCCCATAGCTACTGCTAATTAGTAGTAATAAATAAATAGCTGTCACTAGTTACTAATACTCATCATATAGTTACTACTAGTTACTAGCTGCTGTCATGTAATAGTTACTAGCTACTAGTAATCATTATACAGATAACCACTACTAGTTATTAGTAATCATCATATAGCTACTGCTAGTTACTAGTACTCATCATGTAGTTACTACTAGTTACTAGCAGTTATCATGTAATAATTATTAACCACTAGTAATAATCACATTACTACTAGTTACTAGTAATCGTTATATAGCTACTGCTAATTACTAGTAATAAACATATAGCTACTACTAGTTATTAGTACTCATCATATATGTATATGTATACATATTATTACGAGTCACTAATTGTTATCAACACCTTATATTTAAGAAAAATGTTTAAGAGAAATGTTATTATCAATAAAATTTAAAAAAAAAAGGTTTTATCATTAACTGAAAGTATCGTTAACAACTTTAAGCTCTGATAGACCTTTTTAATAATTTATAATATTCCGTGGCCACGCACGACTGTTTCCAATATGGCGGTAAAAATCTCTAAATGAAGTTTACGGTGACCCGAGTAATTTTCTTTTATACAGCCACTAACCTTATATCAATTAATCGTCGTAATTGGCTAGTCTCTTCCTTCGCTTAATTTCCACCGATGATTGTGCAAATGGAATGAACACGCGTGACCCGGTAGCTGAAGAATGTCGGTCTTCCAGTTGCTTGGACTATATCATTGTCCATTGTAATTATCTGAAAGCTTGACGGCTTCTGATAACCTGAGAGATTATCATTTTCATTATCAGACAATCAACAACAAACTTCGACGGCTTCCTGATAGTTGATACTTCATCGGTTCTTTCTAATCTTTTCATTTTGTTATGCACGGTCGCCATTATTTAATAATATTCAAATTCAAATTCTTAAGATGTTCGGAAATAATTAGACTTCGGATGACAATATATTAAAAGACATTTATAAACACATTTTTTAAATTTAGATATTGATACTTTTATACGTTGTTCATTTTTAATTCACAAATAAAATTTAAGATCTTATTTTGCTGAATTTAAAATGATACAGATTTTACATACCATGTAAATGATTTTACATAACATCTTTTGTTTCAGAATGATACTAATAAAAAATTAAATAATGTTACAAATTTGCAATGTTTTAAAGAGACAAACAAACGTTACTTATATTAATATTAATTTACTTTATGTAGTATATTTGCAACAAAATTCAATGTTGAATATTAAAAAAAGTTTTTACATTCTTGACCCAAAGTCATTTTGTAAACATTTACAATAAATTAATTAAACTGAGAATATGTAGTCGTATCTCTAACATTACCAATAAAAATAATGAAAAATATACTTCTTTATTTCCGTAGAAAATTATGAACTGGTATTTGAAAAATTCAATCGATAATATACGAAGGAATTTCTTTGTTTTGTTCACGTTTTTAATTGAAAAACACGTGTTCTCATTCTTAGGACAACAGTGACCCGATTAATTATGAAGTGGCATATTTGATACTCACTACTCCGGTTTATCGAGACGTATCAGGTTGTTCATGGCGCAGAGTAGTCCTTTCGTGTGAACTAGTAAAATTAGATAGTTTCTTAATAAAATTGTTGATGATCTGCTGGCAAAACGTAGCGTCGCTTCAGGTATAGATTGTTCTGGAGAACGGAGAGAGCAGCTGCTACTCTCCTTTCTATCGTTTCTCTGTTTTTACCTAACGGTTTAGGCTATCTTGTCTAAACTAATCACCGTGATTACTTAACAACTTTGTACGAGCTTCAATCATAATTTTCTTACACATGTGCTTAAATCACTTCTATTCCGAATGAAGATTCTGTTTGTTTTAAACGTATCGAACAAATGCTATACTAGGATAAAATATGAAACTAGAAATAAGATTTCAGTACTTGAAATTAATATTAAAATATTTCTTTTGTATCTGTTTTCTTAAAATGTTGCAAAATAAGACTACACTATTTTTCTTTAACTACATTTTTTATATAAAGAACATTTACAAAAATGATTAAAAAATGCATTTACGTAATTAATTTTTATCACAAGATTTAAGAATCTTCGATTAATTAAATTGTAATGTTTGCTGGTAGAGATAAAAATGTTACATTTACCATATTTCAAAGAATGTTTACATTCGAACTACATCGTATAACACAAGACAAATACATTTAAGAGAATATTTAGTTTTCAAGAGTCAATCCATTAGCATTTAAAATTAGCATAAATTATCACCCCTTCGCGATTGAATTGCTACTTTGATTACGTGACCTTTTCTCTTGCCGCTTACTATTTTAAGACGTTTAATTCGTATAATAGCGTCCATTTTTCTAGGATTTTCTCTGTTGTAAAATTTTTATAATTCAAAGAGATTCATTCATTAAATAAATGAATAATAATAACACACATCATATTATTGTAAAGTATATAATTAACTTAATAAGCTGAAAATATTGTTCAAGTCTTGAATTTCTAATTGTATGCTCAATTTTAATTAGCCGCATCTATGTACTGTTAGTTCTTAATATTATGAACAAGTTTTATAAATTAAAACTAAATTACATGAATTAATTCTAAATTAAGTCAATTAATTTCATATTGTAGCGCGCTTTAAAAATAATACTGCTGATACCATCTAACAATGAACGTCAAAATCAATGCTGGCGCGGAAATGTTCAAGATTATGAATTCTTAATGGCGCGAAATGCACCCACTAACGGAACGGTATGCGCCTGACGTGTAAGCCGCAGTGAAGGTATTAAAATAACAAAGTTAACCTCTACGCCTCCGCCTAGAAAAGAATCAGTATTATTATGTTTCTCTTCCTAAATACTGTGCAAATGTGATACATAAAGTTTCTATGGATCTTTAAAAACAACAAAAATAACTCAGGCGAACAAAATACTTGATCTATTTGAAATGTATTTATATTGGAAGAGTTATCTAAGAAAATCTTCGAACTTTATCGAATGAAACATAGAATTTGGAAATATAAATGTGCATCTTTAAACATACAGTGAGCGTAAAATGGCTTATAAAGTTATAATTGCAATACAGGTTTTATTGCTCGTCATATGTATAATAAATGTTTAAATTGTACTAAAACAAAATAAAAGTACATCTTTCATGCAGTAATTTATGTTTGTTCAGCCTTAACTAATATTTAAGCTTGAAACATATATAAATAAGAGTTCTGCATGAATACCTCTTATTTATAATCATATACAAGTAAGTTGCAAACATCTACAACTTAAAATTACTAAGATATCATTTCAAAAAAAGATTTCATTGTATGCTTTAACTTTCATTGATTTGTATAAAATATACAGTATTATAACAGAATCAATAAAATGAATAAATTGAATTTTTAAATACTGTCTCAGATAATGGCCAAATCAAGCAATCCTAAAGAAAGCGTTAAAGTTGCAGAAGAAAATGTTCTTGTACGTATATCAACTACTGTATTAAATTTGCAGTTGCAAATACTAGCAATACTGTAAATATTGCTTAATTACAATTAAATAAATATTACTTTATATTTAATGTGAAATTGAGTATAATTGCCTTGCGTGTACACTATATTCTCCAAAGTTTTGCTTAACATTTTGTGTTAACACTTGTTATTTTTCATTTTGCATTGGTAACTTAACTGTTACATACAGTGTGGTGATAGTGCAAAAGAATACCTTGAGCCTAGATTCGAGTGTCCTATTTGTTTAACTTGGCTACGTGATCCAGTTTTAACATCTTGTGGTCATAAATTCTGTTCGCAATGTATATACACTTGGCTTCAGTAAGTTATATTTCATAGTAACAAGTTAACAAATACATGTAACCCATTACATTTACAATTCATATTTCCTAATTGAAATTTCATTTTCTAGAAAGGAAGGTGCATGTTGTCCAGTTGATAGCAAACCATTAAAATCTGAAAGTGATTTGTTCAGAGATTTGTATACGAGCAGAGAAATATCACAACAACGTATGCATTGTCCTTATCAACAGTTTGGTTGTGAAGTTAATTTATCTCCAGTGGATATGGAGTCACATATAAGTCAGTGCATGTTTAAAGGACAACTTTCAAATTCAGAGACTATGCACTGTCACTTTAAAAATGTTGGTTGCACAGAGACCTTTTGTACAGAAGAAGATTTACATACACATTTAGAAAGAAATATAAATCAACATTTAACTGTTAGTTTATTTGTAGTTGATACAGATATAGTTACTTATTGTATTAACAGTTTAATTCTCATTTGTTTCCTCAGATGGTTGTGAAAGCATTGCCCCAAGAATCTGCTTCGCGAAATAATGTTAGCGCGCTAGTTGCTGAATCAAAACTATGGGATCCACCATCTAAAAATGCAAGTTCTTTAGAAAAAACAGAACCATCATTAGAATGGCAACAGTTGTTGAAGTAAATTCCATATTCACATAATAAAATGTTTATATCATTATATATTACTCTAATGATAATTCATTTCTTTTTACAGAAATTTGTATGAACGAATAGTACTGTTGGAACAACAGAATAGAGAATTGTCTATAACTGTTTCTAATCAGAAAACTCAACTTACAACTTTACAAACTTCTTTAAGATTTAACCAAGAGGAAGTGTTTTTACGTAGTTGCAATGGTGTTTATATTTGGAGATTACATTCCTTCCAAGAAAAACTTCACAGTATGATGAGTGACCCACTAAAAATGTTTTACAGTCCTGGTTTTTATACCAGTCTTCATGGTTACAAAATTTGTGCTAGAATTAATGTATCTTCTAAAGATCCTGAATTTTTATCACTGCTTTTACATATAATGAAATCAGAAAACGATGACGGATTGGATTGGCCATTTAATGGAACAATGTGCTTCATTTTGGTACATCCACATAATTGCGAAAAAGATATACGAGAAGTAACTTCGTCTAGGCCAAATCTAGAAGCATTCAGAAAACCAGTGTGTGAACTGAATAAACGTAGTTTTGGTTACACTGAATTCGTACGAATTAGGGATTTACCAGATTTCGTACAAAATGACAGTTTGATTTTTAGAATAGAAGTTCGCGTTTATGATAGATTGCAAACACCGAACATAATATAATATTAGCCAATTTTCAGAATTACCAGATATTTTATTTGTAATACGATTTTAAATTTTTTACACAAAACTTATGTATTAAATATAAACAAATACCGTCCAATCTTAATGTGGTAATTGACTTACAAATTTTTAATATGAATATTGTTGTTCGATACAACTGTAAATATTTATGTAAAATAACATGACTTATTACATATTAAAATACATGTATGATTTTTACAACGTCCTATTTAGCATTTATCTAATCAAATTGAAGAATCTCCTCGTTTTATGGACAGAATTTGGCACACGCGGTTGGCTAAATATTAATCATTCAAAAAGTGCATACACATATTGATAAATTTTAGATGGTACAAACGTTTTTGTCGAACCAGGTTCCAAATATATATTGTATGTAGTTATTTACAAATATTTTTAGAATATTGATGTTTCTAAAAATGCAATATATATGCTAAATATCTATTTTGGACCACTTAGAAAACTATTGGGTAAATGAAATATTTGACAAGTATTATAAGTATTATATTAACACTTCAGTCTTTATTTAACCATCATCTTTTTAGTACCAACAGGAATTACACTTATGACTGGTTTATTTTTTTTCTCGCATTACTGCAACCGGTTGTACGCATTTTGTAAATATTTTTAGTAGTAAGATGATGAATGTTTTTCGTTTACATGCATTATTGTTGATCCGAGGTCCTCACAATTAACTTAATAACAATTTTATTCTTTGGAAAATACGAAAGAATAAAAATAATAAAAATGGCTCTACAATATATAAAGTACCACATGATGGCCTTTTTGAATATATATCAGGTGCACTACAAATTACAGAAATAATTATTTATATAGCGATATCTTTGACTTTATAAAATTCTACCTTTCATTACGTTACAATTTGGGTCTTGATAAATCAGGTACAAATATTTTACAATATATAAGACCTCCATCATATTTTAAAATATAATTTATATCGTATGTTAATAATTTATATTTATATTTTTAGAAATCTAGTGCAGTACTAACTCATACATGGTACATACAAACATTTCAGAATTATCCAAATGTCCGAAATATTCTGATTTCTTACCTGTTTTAAAAATAATGTAGTATAGTTGTGATAATTTTATAAACAGCTTTTGTAACGTTTAACATATAACCGTAAAATAATTTAATTTACATGTAAAATGTATGTTTCATCTTCTGTATATTTCAATTAGCTGAATTATAGAACAATGACTTAAAATATTGCTTTAAACTATTCTAGTTTTATTCATGGATTAATGTAGATAGATAGCTAAATGTATACACGTTTTGTATACTGTTTGAAAAACATCTGATTGCTCATCAAAGTCCGCAACGAATTCAATTGTTATGCGAGTCGTCTATTTAAAATTCACGTTAATATACTACTTTCAGCATGCTAGATTTCAACTACCTACGATTAATCTTTCCGATTTTTCAGAGGTGTCAATGGTTGTTTATGTGGAGAAGGAAGTGGAGTTGAGGTAGCACTCTTTGGAATAGTTAGCATGTTTTCCTTCCCTCTAATATGCATACGTTTGTCTTCTGCTTTTAATTTGTCTATAATTTTCTGCTGATGTTCTATTGTTCTCATTTTTATGCTTAAATCCTAAAAACATAAGAGGAAATTATGTCCAACAGATCGTAGATATTATATCGTACAAAGTTTATACTATATCGTATAAAGACAGTGAACATACCTGTTCCAATTGGCTGATTTTATCCTTTAGTTGAGATAGATGCTTAATTCTTTGTCTGTGATTGTGATGGCCAACCAGTTCGGCATACTTTTCATTAAGTTCTTCATAATTTTTCATGATATGTTCATTATATTCAGTAAGCTTTTTGTTTTCCCTAAATTGTAAAGAATACACTTAATACTTTTAATTTTTCAGAATTTTATTACAAGGTATATGAATTCGCAACTCACACTTCAAGGAATTCTCGCCGAGCTCTTTCTTCTTCTAGCTCTCGCATAATTGTTTTCTCGAAAGTTTCCAACTTATTTTGTTCTTCTTTAAATGATCCCGCTTTATCCTGAACATAGATAATGCTTTGGTGATCTATAATTTATCGTTAAATTTTATACACTTAAATTATTAATTACCTCCAACTCCTTATTTCTTTCTTCAAGATTTTTAATTTTGTCATAAAGATTTTGAATTTTAGATTTCGCCTGCAAATATAAAAAAAGTAAGTAAATTCCTTGCTTTTGTATATACTAAAAAGATACGCGACATAATTATTTTGAAAATATACCTCGTTTAATTCCGCTTCATATTTTTCTGAGTGCTCCTTCAATAATTTATCATGTTCTTTCACAATTTCTTCGCGTTCTTTTAATTGTTCACTAAGCTTAGTATTCAGCAAATCCACCCGAGAAATTTCGATCTGTTGAGCATCATGTGTTTCTTCCAATTTAAGCAACATATTTCGTGCTTCTTTGAGATGATCAGCCATTTCATGAAGCTGAGCTTTTATCTTATTTTAGATGAAATAAATCAATTTAATTATTTTACTAATAAACAATGTTTTAAATATATTTAAAAAAGAGAACTTACTTCAGCATTTTCAGCAGTTTTTGCAGCACATTCAGCTTGCAATTTCGCGACTTCTTTTGTTGCCAACTGTTTTAAATCATCAATTTTAGCTTCAAACAGAGATTTTAATGATTCTACTTCGCTCAAACTTTCAGCTTCGAGTTGATCAACCAATCCTTTCTTGACATCCAACTGTTCCATCAAGGTATGTACTTGTTCATGAACCATTTGCGAATTATTACGCATAATGGTTAATAAATCACGGTGTTCACTGATGCAATCTTCACCGCGTTTCAATTCGTGTTGTAATCTTTCCACTTCAGCATTACTTTGAGCCAAACGTTTGGTCAAAGCAGCAACTGATGCTTGATTTTCAGCCATTACAATTTCAAACCTGAAGAAATTATCCTATTTTATATGAAAACATAATTCATATTTTCGTCTAATGCAAAAGAAAATAATTAGGTACCGCTTTCTTCTAGCCACCATTTCTGCTGCTTCTGCTCGAATTTGATCCTTCAAGGCTCTTAGTTCTTCTTTTTTCTCCGCTAACTCGGTTTCTGCCCGATCCAATTCCATTTGTAAACTCTGACCGAAACTTTCCTAAATTTAGAAGAATAATTATTTCAAGATAAAATCAATAAATTATTATTTATTAGAACGCCTACCTGTGTTTCTGCAGAGGACTTTAACTGTTCAAGTGTTATAGAAAGTCTAGTAATTTCAGCGTCCTTCTGTGATAACTTTTCATCTAACGCTGCACGTTCAGTTTCCACTCGTACCAAACATGCTTTATATCTCTCTGCAGTCATTCGCATTTCTTCTTCCACTGCAGCTTTTGCTTCCCTAATCATAGCGTTTACCTACACCAGTATATTAAAGTTAATAAAAATTGCACCCAGGTGCCCCTTAACGAGAGCACAAATTAATTAGCAAACATCACACCAACTGGAAAGTAGAAATTTGAGAGCACCAAAAGAGAAACACCCGTTGTTAGCAATAAAGATCCTTTTATTATATCAGAAGTTATCTAATAACTGCTTTGATACTCTAAACAGAATGTTTATTGCAATATTAGAAAAAGCACTCAGTCAGTGATGTTTTTTATTTTACGCACGTGTGACCCGCTTACTTTCGCGTCGTTCTCGGCGATTATTTTTTTAACTCTTTCATTGCATTCGGCACGGCAAGCTGCTAATGTTTCCCTCGTCACCGTCTCTGCATTTTCAACCATTTTGTCAGCATGTTGTTTTACCCGTTTCGTTTCTTCTTCGATCTTTCTAGCTGTGAGTTCTTTTAATTCTGCAATTTCTTTATCCCTTGCCATTGTTAACTATATTAGAATTTAAATAGCATAAGTAGGTAAAAATATAATCTTTTACGCGAAAAATAAAAACGGACATTATATAACAAATTAATTCGCATACATTTTCTATTTCTTTTAAATAATCTCGTTTTGTATGTTCTAACTGGTGATTTAACTGGTATTTTTCATCCTCGTGGAGTTTCATCATATCAGCTACCTCTTCTGTATGTTTCTTTATGACAAGATTATATTTCTTATCAGATTCCTCCAGTTGATGATGTGCCTCTTGTAAACGATTACTAACCTGTATTACAAAATGTGTTAGGTAAAATATTAAATAAACAAGAAACAAAGAATTTAAATGCTTACATCTTTATACAGTCTTTGGATATTTTGTAATTCTTCTTTAAGAAAATTATTTAACTCGTCAGCATCTTTTGCTTTAACTTCAGCTTCCAGTTTCTGAGCTGTTTCTAATTTGTACTCATTTAGAAGAATTGTTCTCTCGTTTTCAAAAGACACTTTTAATTGCTCAATCTCGTCATTATGTTTATATTTTAGATCATCAACCTGTTTTTCTAGCACAGATACTCTTCTCGAAAACTCTGCAATACGATCCTTAAGATCACTTTCAATTATTTTCCGCGCTTGAATTTCGCGGCCTTTTTCTTCCGAAGCTTCTAATAATTTTCGTCGAAGATTTTCTACTTCACCTTGATACTTCTCGTCATGACCGTTCAATATTTCTTGCTGTAACTCGGCCTGCAATCAAAAACTGTAAATTACACAACAATAAATGTAATAATTCAAATTTCAATCGCGGAGAAAGGTTTTACTACCATCGCTTCCATATCCTTCTTGTGTTGTTCTTCCATTTGCGTCTGCTTTTTAAATAGTTCCTCAAGTTGTAACTGTAATTTTTGTACTTCTCCTTTCATATCTTCGATGTGTTTCTCTTGTTCTTGTATGGTTTTGTCTTTGTTGGAACATTCTACTTGAAGATCCGCTAACTGATGCTGCGACTCGTATTTGAATTTTTGATCTTGAACCGGAATAAGTGATCGCGGCTTTGATTTCTTCCGTGGTAATTGAGGCTGCAAGTAACACATTTTGAATAGTGAAATATTTTTTAAAAAATATTAATATTTCAACAATTTATTAACCCTTTCAGCAAAATTGAATCGAGAAATAATAAAGATTAGTTACATTGAAAAGTATTTCAAATAAAATTTGACCGTTTCCGCGCGTCACATAATTTGATAAGATTAATTTTTTTGTCAATAGATACATAAAGAAGAGGTCATAAAGAAAGAAGGTCATTTAACGTCGATTTAGAATAATTTTTTAATATAGTTTTCATCTGGTCAATATCTAAGTCAAGTTATTTAATTTGTCTCAGTACAAATACCCAGTTTGCCCGATTCTAATGGCAATACTGTTCCATATATATACAACATTTGAGGTTAGAAATACTCCATAAGTAAAGGGTTAATTTCTGTTTCAACGGGTAACATTTGTTCCAAAGGTAATTTTGATTTCTCACCGTCCTAAAAGTGGGCTTTATAGTTCTCGTGCTTCTAGTACAAAGTGACAAACTGCATTCGGCACTGGCGACGCTTTTGTCATCGTGAAATCTTTCTGATTTTTCGATCAAAACTATACCTTTTACTTTTGAATCGAATTTTGGATCATATGCTCCAGGTGCAGGAACATCATCTATAAAAATTTTCAATAATATTGCAATTAGAAATGCACGAAAATTTAAAAATATCAAAATACATATCTCGAAAATTATATTTCGGGATTCAATAATGGCGGGATTCTTTAGAATTTCAAGAGTTCAAATCACATTTCCGTGATATAAATGCATCAGAGTCTAATTTAGTACAAGAGTAAAATTTAAAAGTTTTAAAATGCAACAGTATGTGGACACATTATATAAACTATACAATAATCGCGCTTATGTGGAAATAGGACGGCAGTACCGTTGTTTGATACAGATTAACTGTAAATCTTTGTTCTGAGTGTGGATCAGTTATATATACGAAATTTTAATAAAAATAAATTCAAAATGAACATAAATTTTATACGTATTATATTTACTTGTATTGCTTTATTAACTGGTATTATTGGATTGTTATTGAATTATGTGGAATGTTACCTGCCTACTTTAATTATTCGTACTTATCGTTATGGTAAATATTCTACAAAAGTGTATCAACCATTAGTTGCAAAAATAGAAGTACCTAAAGGGTGAGTATAATTAATAATACTGATCTATATCAATTAATGAGGATATCATTACAAAAGTCTATATAAAAAATAATACATGTTCATAATATTTTAGGTGGTTTAAACATTTCTACGCCTTTGCTGCGCCAGCTTCTAGTTGTGTGTTATATTTAGTTATTTGCAAATATTTCCAGAATATTGATGTCCCCAAAAATCTAATATGGATGCTGAACATATGCTTAGGACCCCATAGAAAACCATTAGGTACATCAAATTTTATAATTATACGTATAATGGTAGCATTTTAATTCTTATTTAACCCTCTTTTTTTCAGTATCAGCAGAAAGTACATTTATTGCTGCTTTACTTATAACTTTTCATTGTTGGAAACGATTTTATGAATCTCATTTTGTAAATATTTTTAGTAACAAGAAGATGAATATTTCTCATTATGCAATTGGATTTTTTCATTACATAGGAACTTTAATATGCATTATTGGCGAATCTGAGGGCTTTTTTGAAGGTAATAACACAATGTTTGATTAAATGTTTCTTAACTACTGCTATAACTCACTGAACTTTTGATTTAGATATGAACGTAACTTTTTCTTGGAGAAGAACCACATATCCTCAGCTAATATGTGCAATGATTTTCTTAATATCCTCGTATACTCAACTTAAAACCAATTTTATTCTCAGAAACTTACGAAAGGATAAAAATAATGAAATTAATACTACAATATATAAAATACCACATGGTGGCCTTTTTGAATATGTATCAGGTGCATTACAAATTACAGAAATAATTATTTATTTGACAATGTCTATAATACTATGGCAGAGTTCTACATTTCATTTTATTACAATTTGGGTCTTGGTAAATCAGGTATGAATATTTTATAACGTACAAGACTGAATTGTAGTTTAAAATGCAATGCATACCATATATTAATGAAATATATTTATTTTTTCAGGTATCGACTGCAGTGTTAACACATAAGTGGTATATACAAACATTTCAGAATTATCCAAAATGCCGTAAAATTCTGATTCCTTATCTATTATAAATATAGTAAACAAAGTCTCAGTATATTTTAATAAAAGTATACATGATTAAGACCATTTTTATAAGCATCATTCTATAAGTATTGTTGTTATGAATGATATCAATAATTACACAATATGAATTATATTAATAATTAATTAATGTCACACTTGTTAATGTAAGCATTGTTTTCAGCTTTAATATGGAATAATTATTTGACTGATTTTACTAGCATAGTACTGATTTTTAAGTACTTGTACTGATTAGAAAATTTCAGATTATTTTTAATAATTATTGTTAATTTTATTTTACTTTTGTTTGCAGTGAACTGTTAGCTATTAAGGTTATTTATTGTCAATAAAATAATATTTCAAGTTCAAATTAATGTCTTTTTAATTACAATAAAAAAAAATCAAGTATTATTAAAAATCAAGCTTTGAGTAAATAATCTATTATTGAAATCAAAGTAAAGATAATGCTTATTTAATACATCAAAAAATTGGAATCAGAAAGCATGTAATATTAAAATAAATGATAATTTCGATGCATACTGATTTGTGCAAAGAGCAGGCAAAAGTGCAGACATCTGTTTCTAAAGATAAGGGGTGTCTACTGCAATAGAAATATGTGTCCCAGGTGTATCCTTAGAATACAATGACCGCACTTTTTTCACGGGTCCGTAACGGAATCGATTGTCACTGTCTTTTGTCCTCCTCTCTTTTCTTTTCGATCGCATTTAAAAATTAAATGGTCTGGCAGATTATTTTCTGCACGTCCTACATATTTTCTAACAAATCAGATTTAACCTTTAATATAATTTTATACAATGCCTTTATGTAAAATCAATAATGTAAATAAACAATAAAGTAATGTAAAAGTGTGTTAACATACATGTCATCTTCACTGATTGTAGATAATTAATTTAAAAAAACGATAATATCAGTATTTTTAATAATTAACTTTATATTCAACGAAATAGATATAAATCAAGTACTTCTTTAAAAACACAAGTACTTTCTGGAACATTACATATTACATGCCCGCCAAAACATTACGCGTCGTTGTTATACAATTTTGACACAAATACAATAAAAAATTGTTTTCAACTTATTATTACAATGAAAAATACATTCATTTAAAATATTATGAAACATGCACTAAAAGAACATAACGAACGATATGTTTACTTACTTTCCTGTTCGTTAAACCTTTGAATTCTAGCTTTTGAGAATGACATAGTAAAACAGTTTTAACGTACTTTAAAATAAAATCTTTGATAACTTAATCGTAAACTCAGTTAATTATAAAAACACGTTGAACTACGTTTCCTTTCGATCACTGTCTTAACGAAAGGAAGGTCACACTACGTCTACTTCGCATTCGCATCCAAACTTTTCTTCCGTTAGAACGTTCGTTCGTTTTCAAGATTTAAAATGACGGTTAGAAAAACATTAGCGTGACAACGAATCAGCGACTGAGAATTGCGCAACGAACCAATCCGCTGACAGATAAATTCTTGCCCAGATACCAGGAGCGTAACAAGAGCTTCAATTACATGGTGTGTGCATATTTAAAAATTTAGTTCATAAAACTCTCATAATAACGCATCACAAGAAATCATCAAAAAGGAATACAAAGAAATAGATACAATATTTTAAAAATTGTGTTGTAATTAAAACATTTTATAGATATTGAAATTTTGTATTATAATGCACAAAAAGTAAACATGTTGATATGTACCTGGAAATATTGTAACTATGTATATCGATAACGCTATCGAGAGATATTGATAAATCGAAATGTAATTTTATTATTTAAATCAACTTTTTCTTGTTTGAACTTTAACAAAGCAATTTGTTTTTGATTGAATTTTAAATTGGAACTTTGTTGCAATAAAACTAAAAATAATGTTAAATAAATTATATTGGGTTGAGGATAAAGTTCAAACACAGATAATTTTTATAATAAATAGAATCTCTTCCTTACATATGAATAGGGTATCGATAATTTATCGATAATCGGCAGCGACTTGGTAACATAAAACAAAAATATGTTTGTGATATCAAAAACATGTTTTTTAATTAATTAAGACAAAAGTTTAAATATTATACACAAATAATTAACTGGAGATATTAAATTTAATATTTTAGGTTGATTTTCAAATCTAAATGTTTTCATATTAAATGTAACGTGTATGAACGAAATAAATTATCTCTTGCCGTATGGTTGGTTTGTGACAAATTTTTGTTAGAAGAGCAGTTGTAATATAATAGTTTTGCAATAACAATCTATGCAACATGGATTGTAAAAATTATGTTTTATGTTTGGCATTTATTTTAAGTTTAAATTATGTTTGCTGTCAGTACAGGTTAAAAAATGTAAGAATTCATCAATTTTTTCCTGAATTGAATTACATATTTTTAACTTAATAAACATAACATAAAATGATCATAATACATTTTAGATGCAAGGTTCATCTCTATCTGATCGGGTGCAACAGTTAACAGAACTAACTCTTACAAGACCTGTAATTAAATTCAATGGCGCAAGGTTTAGAGAATATGTTAAAACCACGCCAAGAAATTATTCTGTTATTGTAATGTTTACTGCAATGGCACCTCAAAGACATTGTCAGATATGCAGGTAAATTTGGTTTTGACCTGTCTTAGTATTTTTTATATCAAAATATAATTATTATATATTTGTATTTTATTAGACACGCAAATGATGAATTTGTGATAGTAGCAAATTCATTCAGATATTTGCAAGCTCATTCAAAGAAATTATTCTTTGCATCTGTGGATTTTGATGAAGGATCAGATGTATTTAATATGGTATGTGCTACTATTACTGCTTATTCTATTATTTATATACATACTTGATATACATGATTTACTATATAGCCATGTAATACATATAGATATAATTAGGACTTGTTATATAGATGAAAATAAATAGTGCACCAGTATACATGCATTTTCCACCAAAAGGGAAACCAAAGCCTGCAGATACTATGGATATTGAAAGAGTGGGATTTGGAGCAGAAGCAGTTGCGAAGTGGATATTTGAACGTACTGATATTCAGGTATTTCTTTTTAAAAATGAATTGAAACTTTTTAATTGAAACACTAAAGTATTAATAATATTTTTAATATATATTATAGATTAGAGTATTTAGACCTCCAAACTACTCTGGTACAGTAGCAATAATAATGTTGTTGATACTTATTGGAGGATTCTTGTATCTAAGACGTAACAACTTGGACTTTATTTATAATAAAACTATTTGGGGACTCTGTGCATTGGTAATATTTATTTACTTAATAGTAATTCTGATTCTTTGTTTAATTAATTTGTTACAAAATAACTTTATTTATAGTTTTTCACATTAACAATGATTTCTGGACAAATGTGGAATCATATCAGAGGACCACCATTTATACATAAATCTTATGGTGGAAGTGTAGCTTACATTCATGCTTCTTCTCAAGGACAATTTATTTTGGAAACATATATTGTTATGATTTTGAGTATCCTTTTCATAAAAATTGATAATTATTATTTAGATTGAACATTATATTAAATGATGATCAGGAAGATCGAAATTTTCCTTAACAACATGAAATCAGATGGAGCAGTAGTGTTAGGTATGATTTTAATGACTGAATCTGCATCGCGTAAAGGTGATGTGAAAAAGAGGCGGATATTTGCTGCCCTAGGTGCGGGCTTAGTTGCCATCTTCTTCAGCCTTTTATTATCAATATTTAGGAACAAAGCTCAGGGATATCCATACAGGTATGGAAGTTTATATTAAAGTTGTACTTATAACAAATAATGCATAGCTATCGAGTTGGAATATATTAGTATATTCCTAACGATATTTGCTTCTGTAATACATATTACATGATCCTTAAATGAACATATTAATGAATTTCATCTTTTCATTGTCTGCTAAGTATTATATTTTGTGTCTTAGAAAATAATAATTGGTTTGTTTCAGCTTGCTGTTTAAATAAAGAAATAAATACCAGAACTAATTGCTTCCTATATTAATGAAATAAATCTGGAACCACTTTTCCATATATTTACTTAATGTGTAAGAGGATATGTATATTATTCTAATAAAAAATATTCCCGAGACCTAATTATACAATTATTTATTAACTGAAATACTATTGTAATTATTAAAATTTATTATTTTTTATAAGCTTCGTATATTGTATTTTCAATTATTTGAAATAAACATTTTTAATTCTAACTTCTATCGTGTGGAACATTAAAATGCATCAGTCCCAATTGATATACCAGGAAATCATGGTAAGTATATTCAGATTGAATTAATATTAATTCTTTACTTAATACTTTGACTTAATAGACAATAATATACTCTAAATGGTAACATTAACTGGCATGAGAATGTTTTACAAGTATTAACAGGTCAACAAAATTAATACAAAAATTATATTTAAAATTTAGTTCTAGTAGTTCTTTTTTTCTACTACTAGATGGCTACGAATTCTAAGGTTCATAAAATGCATTTCTTTTAATTTTCGAATATGAAACTTACTGTAAAACGATTTTTCTCAGTTTGCGGTAATTGTATTCATCAAAAATACATACGCGTGTTATATTTTACAAAAAAAATCAATTTTCATTTATACAGTTCCACAAAATTAAATTTAATTGTTAGATGGGGCAAGTGGTGCTGTTTTACAAAAACAAATAAAATAAAATGTTTAAAAATAATACTAGCTATCAAAAACAATATTTTTAGAGACATTTGAATTTTATCGATTTCATTTTACATACCTAGGAGCTTGAAAAATGATCAAATTTAAATATTTGGATTTTTCGAGATTGAAAAATTCAAAAGTTTGAAAATTTGCATGCAAATCATACTTTTATTCTATAATTTTATATTTGTTTTATATAATATGTTTACATAAATATTGTTACATGCGTGCAACCGGTTTTAAACCGAGTATTGAAAAACACGTTTCCATTATAATCGCAGTAGCTTCTGTTAATAACATACGGCCAACATTTATCTTTGTTATTTCTCCTAGTTCGTTCTTTTCAACGCAATAGCAGTTATCGTAAAATTCCGTAAATGCGCATGATATTTCGTAAACAAACTCACACAATTGATGTACATACAAATCTTTTGTAATTTTAATTAATACATCGGGGAATTTAAGTAATACTTTTGCCAATTTCCACTCCTTATCGTGTTCTAATGAAATTGGAGTACTTTCCGCCATTTCTCGTAATTTTTCTGGCGAGATGTTAGCCGCTCTTGCAATAGAGCGTATCCTTGTTAAAGCGTATAACAAATACACCGCTGTATTGCCTTTGTCTTCAAGCATTTTGTCGAAAGAAAATATGTATTCGTGATTTCTATTATGCGACAAGTCTGCATACTTTATACATCCATAAGCAATGGATTCCTGAGCAGCTTTTAATTCTTCTTCAGTGAGTACTTTGTCACGTCCTTTTTCTATTAATTTTTCAAGTGCTCTCTTTAAACCTTAGATAAAAGGAAAATACATTTAGAACAAATATTAGATTAATTACATCGTTATATTTAATAATTACCTTCATCTAACAGATCCGTTAATTTTACTGTATCACCAGATCTAGTTTTAAATTTCTTTTTATCACTACCTAGAACCACGCCGAATCCAACGTGGTCTATTCTGTGACAACTTTTTACAATGCCTGCTCGTTCGGCACAGCTTTTTAAGATCTTAAAATGTGTAGCCTGTCCAGCATCTGTTACATATATTACCTATAACATAATTAAAAACTAATAGGTGTATATTTTATTGTAAAGGGATTGAAAGTTTGTAAGAAACTGAATACTTTAGAGTAACACAGAATTCAAAGATTAGTATATATTACCCAGTCAGCTTTTTCTTCTTCTAGACGTTGTTTAATAGCTGCCATATCCGATGTATCATATGTAAATCCACCATCAGATTTTATAATAGTCAGAGGTATTTCACCATCATGTTTACCCCACATTACTTTACGTCCCTCATCATCTTCTAACAGACCGTTTAACTCTAACTCTTTAACTATACTTTCCATACGTTTCTGATAGAAAGATTCTCCTCTCTCTATCAAACGTATGCCCAAACGATTATACACCTTTTGAAATTCTATAATGAATATATAATTTATTAATACATTAGAACAGTAACTTTTATTTCTCAATTTTACAAATGTAAAAAAATTTACCTTTCCTAGAAACATCACAGATCAATTCCCAAGCTTTTATCATATCAGGATCGAATGCCTGTAGTTTAACAACACAGCTGTAAGCACGTTTTTTAAAGTCTTCATCTGTATCAAATCTTATTTTTGATTCTTTATAAAAGCTCTGCAATTTTCATAAAAATTTATCAAAATATTTGCTTACAGTTAAAGTGTATTGTAAAAAAAATAAATTACTTGAAGATCAGTAATAGGTGGAGATACTATTAAGTAGTCAGGAAATCTGTCTTGAAGGTGAGCTATTAACATTCCAAATTGAGTGCCCCAGTCACCAACATGATTTATTCTTAACACATCATGCCCTAAAAACTCTAATAGTGTTGCAATACTGTCACCAATTATAGTAGATCTCAGGTGTCCAACATGCATTTCTTTAGCAATATTGGGACTAGAAAAGTCTACAAGAACCCTCTGTTTCTTTACATGTGGTGGAAATGCTTTCCCACTTTTTACTAAGTTACTTAATGTTGTCTGTGCAAATTCTTTTTTTAAATATATATTTATAAAACCCGCACCAGCAACTTCTAATTTAGAAATTAAAGGTGATTCCTGTACTTTTGATAAGATATTATTTGCAACATTTCGAGGATTTGTTTTATTCCCTATGTGGATATATAAAATATATACTTTGTTAGATACGATACATTCATATTAAAACTTTACATATTACTATTATTTCTTACCGTTACTATTAAGTTGTTTGCTAAGAGGCATAGCACTATTACATTGATAGTCTCCAAATTTTGGATTATTACTGGATGTTATTATTACTGGAGGATCACAAACATCTGGATATGCAGCAGTAATTGCATTTTTAAACAAATCAAATAAAGTGTCACATATACTGACTACAATATTTTCTGTCGTCATCTTCATGTTATGCTGTGCTTTTGCTCTTTCAGCTTCAATAGTCTGTTTAAATTAAATGTAAATTATGATAAAAGTGATTTAAAAAGTTGAACAACAATTCAGGTCTTAAACTTAATTTTAAGATAGATATGAGGATTAAACCTGAAAGCTATAGAAAATAAATATACCCTTTTCAGGATGGCTATCCTATGTTTTAATTTTATATTCTCTTGTTCCAATTTTATGTATTCATCTTTAGGTACAACGGGTATTTTAGAGTTATTAGTTGTAATATTTTGTCGTAAACATTCGATTTCTTTTTTTAGAAAATCTATTTCTTCTTCCTGTAAAGCATGGAAATGAGAATTACAACCTATAAATGGTACTTGACAACCTTAAAAACTATATTTTAATAAATGAATTCGTAAATGTCAAATACATAATAGTGAAATAATTTACCGCTAAATCCGCTCTTTTTTGAAAACTTTCGAAATCTGGCTTAGACATTATATTAAATGTTTGACAACTATATATACAAAAATAGTACACGTGGACTTTAAAAATCCAAACACCGACATAGGCAGGTTAGAAGTGCACCGAAAGAATGTATTTGCAATAAATTAAAAGAAATAATAAGTAATACAATTACATATGTTTACAAAATTGAATCGCGTTGAATTTAAACGTATGGTACTGTATCATTGGAAATTAAATCGCGCCGAATAGATCATGCGGAACTGAAATATACTGAATCGAATCGAATGTTAAATTGAATCGCATCGAATTGAAACGCGCCAAAATTAAAAGCATTGAATTGATTCGCATCGGAGAATGCGAAAATTATTTTATTGGTTACGAAAATAAATAAGTTAAAATTAAAATAGTGGAATGCAATTTCTTTTTATATCAATTATTTATTTTCCATACAAATTATAAACATGTTTTTCAAATACTGTACATATACTGAATTCTATTATATTTTTAAACCTCTAATTTAATGATATATCATTTCGATCTTCATTTACTTGTTAAATCAACTACTTTGATCCTCATTTCGTTTTATTTATGATAATATACAAGTAGATCCCATTTTTTCCGATCAATATTCCATTTAACCATTTTACAATCAAGCTCAATTCTTTGATATGGCAATTCCAGGATATGAAGAAATATAAATTGCAAATAGACGCGACTTTACAATTGCAAGAGTAATTTAGCAAGACGTTGTGAAAATCACAGTCAATATTTTCATAGAGATAATGATTTTGGAATATTTATAAAGTGACAGCTAATTGTTGCATATAAATTATACATCCTGTTACTTCAATTCCATATGACAAGTTGTTACAACTTCAATTCCATATATAATAAAATGATTTTAAATCATGCAATTTAATTTTTAGTTTATCAATCTCCATGAAAATAAAGACAATTAATTTTGACGCTTTCAATTTTAAAGTACAAGATCAGAATCACCAATTACAAGTAAATCAAATTTTGTTGTTGCAAGAGTACTTCATACAATACACAAAATTTAGTCACTGGAACTTTTCCTTTTTTCCTTGATGATATTTATGTAAATATGTACAAAGATATTTAACAAATTTCAGTTTATCGTCAATTTTATCATGTATTGTGTACAGTGCAAATTTTTCTCCACTTTTCGTTTCCTAATCTACTTCTGCGCTTGCATCTTTATTGGATTTCAATTTTTTTTTTCTGATATCATCAATATAGAGTGAGAGAGTGCTATTTTCTATCTTCACAGAAGACATAGATAAATATATATTTTCATAATCTTTCCTTATAAATGTAATTCGCTTACTTTAAAATCATTATTCGTTAATGTTAATAATATTAGTGACGATATTCTTTTCTTTCGATTTCATACTCCTCCCATTTTCCCTCGCAATTTTTCGTTGAAATAAAAATTCATATAATTGTATATTGCATAATTTTTTGTTTTTTTTTTTTTCTCAAAAAATAACGCTTTAACTCAGGTTGATTTGAAACCACCATGTGTGTCTTCAATTAAATTAGACTAAATTAAAATGACTTTTATTTCACGTAGGTATTTCATCAAGATTTATTTTTAACTACAGAAAAATATTTTCTTTTTTTCTTTTAAGATCTAACAAGTATTATTAGTTAAAATAACGGAATCTATAAGCGACATCACATCTGGATGGTTCCAATTCTACCTTAACATGTACACAATTTAGCAAAGTTACAATATATATATATATGTATATATGTATATGTATATATATAATACTATATGCATATATATAATATTATATATATGTATATATATACTATGTAAAAACAAGACTTAAGATCAATTATTACAAAAAGAAAGGTAACAATAAGTAAAAATCGTGACAGCTGCCAGTTGTTGAATGAAAGCCATGTACATTATCATTTAAATACACAAGTTTCTTCATTATTCAGTCAATCACTTAGCAAATTCAATTCTCACCCCAAATAAAAAGCGACATATTTCTGACTAAAAAGAGAGATCAAAATACATTGCCACTTGTTGCGTAAAAGTTAATTAAAGTAAAGAATACGGTAAATATTAATTATTTTCTTAAAGTATACATGATTCATTTCTGCGATACCTCAGTATTCACTGCTCTATAGGCAAGTCCTGTTTCAGAACACGCAATTGATCAGATTAAAGAATACGTAAAAAGTTTTCTGTGCAATTGCACACGTATAGTCTCTGCGAGAGGTGTGACTAAATAAAAATTAATCGCAGGATTCAATGGTCCTCTACTCTCTTAAATAATCATCATTGCAAATGGTAAAACAATATCGGTATGAAACATTTTTGGTCCGTATATATTGAAACGTCAAAACGATATTTAAGTACGAAATTATGTTGTGAAGTAAGATTTTTCATTATGAAAGCTTGCTCGAATTTAGAGAGCTCAGATCCGAAATCGCGCTATTTTAATTTTTACATTAAAAATCGAATGTAATTTGCATTCTTGAACGTTTAGTTGAAAATTGGTAAGATCATGTTACCAAGTTGGAGGAAAAAATCTCTTTGATAAACACTATTTATAATCTAGCGTGAACGATGGATGCAATTCTGATGTACTTGCTGTAAATATAGTAGAAAGATAAAAACAAACGAAGTACGCTAAGTAAGAAAGTCATTCATGTAAGAGCTATAGAAAAAAAGAAAGATCTTAGAGTAAGAAATAAAATGATTACAAGAAATACAAACACATCCCTTTAATCTAAGTGTCGCTGCCTAACAACGGGTGGGTTTGCACAATTGCAAGTGCAATTCGAAGATCACTTTTTAAAAAGTACATAAAAATGGTCAACGTTCTCGTTAGTCTTTCTTTTATCTGATCATTGAGAATTAATAAAAAGCTCTGCAGCGAGAAATTCTTATCGTTAGTTGTAATACAGCTAAAAAAAAAGAAAACAGTTCTACAACAAAAAAGCTTAAGGGAAGGTCTTTACACGTCGATTTTTGACCTTGCTCGATTTGGATAGTTAAAAAAGAAAAAACGAAACTGTAATAATGTAATCAAGGAGACTTAAGAAATCATAATGGCATACCTCTCTATTCAACTTCCATTTCGTTTAAAACTTAGAAATCACTTAGATAACTTTATACACGATCATTTATAACAATGTAAATTGTAATCATTGCATTAATATTTAACATATATATTCTTATATGTAATATATGTATATCTGTGTGTGGATGTCCTGTCTGATCTATTTCCTAATTTAATAATAAAACTATAATACTAAATTATGTTGGTACCACGCCTTGCCGAGATCAGAGTCTGTTTCTTATTATTTTTTTTATGATTTTTTTCCCTATTTTTTGTTTTCTCTATTTTGGTACACACATTATCCTCGACTTTACAATGTTTCATACCAAATTTATTGTCGTCAATTTTTTTTAACTTAACTTTTATTATATCTCTTTATTAAAACTTCGACGAATTAGAAACATTTGTATGCGAATGACGGAATATTCATAAAATATATGTACGATTACATTTGTTTCGATATAAAATTTACAATTCCGTCATATCTGGAACGCGGTTCCTGCAGTGTTCCACACAGGACATCTTTTTCTTCTTGGTACATCAAAGCACGCGTACCAATTATGTATTTTTACTACAATCTTTTTTTTTCATTTCAAATGAATCAAACTCAAGCTCGGGCTGGCCAGTACTTCTAACTTGTAAACGCGAGTATGTGTTTACGTGTGCTGTATGTCTGTGTGTGTGTACGTGTGTATTCGCGCGCGCGTTCACGTGTAAATTTTAAGTTCTCTTTAAGGAGTTTCGTAGAAAATGTTCGCAAATACTGAATGAAACATGTAATTTGATCGGTTGAAATAAACGAATACAGATAAACGCATATCTAGTTTATACAATGATTGTCAAATATATATGTATCCGAATTTACGTCCTAAATGAACATCTGACAAACATGTTTGATCTGTGGTAGAACATTTTCAACGGAAACCCTATTCAATGTAGACGCGAGATGTACGAGTAAACTGTGAACGTGTTTACAATTACAATGTATTCACGTTTAACCCCTTGAAGAGTACACGTAACTAAGACAGATCAAGTTAAAACGAAAGCAAAATCAAATTGTATAAAAAGGTACATCTTCCAAGTAACATGCAAATGAATTAAAATCTGAATTTTTGTACATGTATACTATACAAGTATTACATCCGATTGCTCATAAACATTACTTCTAATATTTATGTCGACGTGAACGTTGGTAAAACGGAATAAGAGAAATTTTAAAAACTACCGCACGGCACTTCAAAAGGTTAATATCAATTTGTGTAATCGTGTATGTGCGCGTATGGATGATTTCTTTATGTGATGGTAGGCACTGATGGGGGTGGATGGCTGCATGGCGAGCAGGTTCAAGCAGGTTAATCCTTGATCAATCTGTATATGTGATGTTGTGCACCGTGTTCGGACGTCGACACCTCGAACACGTATGCCGTACACAATAACGTCTCCTGCGTATCCCTGTTCGTAACAACCTGCAATTACACAAAATAATTATTTTATTTTTTGCTCCAAAACATTCACTATACAATATTTAACTATATTTACTGTTATGAGACTGATAGGCGCTATAATCTTATTGATATATCAAATGGGGTTGAAGGTTCTTAGTGTAACTAGTTACAGTCTAGATATTACTGGAATAGGTACAGTAATGTGTATGGTATTTTCTAGGGAAATGTCTAGGTGCATTTTGGAATTTCGAAAATTTGGAAACCCTGGGATTTGGAGATTTAGTGACAGGCATTTGAAGATATAGGAATTTATATATTTTAAAATTTAGGGATTTGGGAAAATAGGATTTTGGAAAATTAAGGATTTGAAGATTTAGGTACTTGGGATCTTCAGAGTTTGATGACTTATACATTTATGGAATTTAGGAACATAGAATTTAGAGATTTAAGAGATTGCAAATTTCAGGATTTGGAATTTTCATATCTTTAACATTTAGGGACTTAAGAATTGGGTAAATTAAAAATGTAGTAATTTTGTAATTTGAAATTTTAGAATTTTGGAAACTGGAAGTTGGAGATGTAGTAATGTGAGAAATTGTGAATTTGTGAATTTAGAAATGTGAAAATTTAAATATTTGGCAACTAGAGTATTCGAGGATTTTCCCTAAATTCTCCCTATATTCTAACGCCTCTGCTTTCCCTAGAAAATTTTCAAAATAAACAAAGAAATTATATACCTGGAGAATGGTGAAATTCTCAAGAACGCTGTTCATCATGTACTTTTCTGGCAGGTGCTTCAATTTATGTATAAAATTGATCATGTACTCGCACATGGGCGAACGGCTAATACGGTAGACGAACCTGCCATTTTCAAACCTAGCGTATTCTGTCTCCACTTTTTCTACCACCTGTTTCCCGAACGAACAGACTTTGGTCGAACACGTTATCGTCATGTTCTCATTGCTCTCGTACCTAAAAAATAATCATTTATATTAAAACATACAGAATTATTTTTTTATTATATAATTACTTAAAGTATTAAAACCAAGAAGTGGTTTTATTTAAGTTAAGGTGGAAATGATCCGACAAAATGTTACGGATAATAAGTTTATTTGAATAATGCCAGTATAAAAGACACGTGGCTTCGCGGTAGCGCGGGAGCACATTAATAATACAACGCACTAAACGAAGTTTGTCGCTACAGGAGTACAATGCGGTGGCAGTACAACCAAGAATAAACAAATAGATAGAGGGCCATAGACAATAATAACATAGACTAACAAATTTCAAGGAAGTTACTCCTTTATTTTACATGTTTAGAGCTTTAGCTAGAAAGAAAAGGAAATATTAAAATTTTAAAGCGTTTACTAATAATTTGATTTTACGAAGGGATGTAGTAGAATGTTAATGAACGGTTTTATTACTCACTGGCTTGTTACGCCGTAAAAGGCTCCAGCTTCGTCCTGGATGTTCGTATTGAGATCAGCCCAGAATTTAACGAGGAAGAAGGCTGCCTGTGGTCCCTTGTCGTAAAGTTCCTTCAGGCCACCTTTTTTCTCCGGGAATTTATCATATATTTGCCTGACATCAACAGCCTCTAGCAACGGATCCGCGTATGTCGCGGATCCTCCTATGTGGACGAACAAGTGTTTGTGGTACTGGAAATAATGAAAATATGTACATTTGCTGAAACTATATTGCTACAACTATTATAGTTGTAACATAATCAATATCATGAGAAACAATTTATTAGAATTTTTTTTTAACGCGTCTTCTACTATTGCATGTGCATTTTGTACAAATAATAATCAAAAAATAGCTTCTATTATTTAATTATTAAAGGTAATTGATTTTTATATATCATTAAGATAATCGTTTTGTTAATATCTTATATTACTAGGGTATTTATTTGCTTATTTCGTTTTTTCAGGGTGCAATGAAAAGTTTCGAAAATTATTTCTTTGTTTAATGTCAGTTTCTCATTTGTTATGAGTTAAGTGCAAAAAAATACACTGTCAGGAGCTCTTGCAAACGTCTTCATAAATATCTTCTACTCGTCACCATTGCGGATGTTATGAAGTGCGGCGTTGGCCTAGTAATCATTTTCAAAATGTAACAGGTCTTTAAAAAGATGTACATCGTGAAAACTGTTTCGAGGAATTTTTCTGAGTCACTAGAGATAAAATAAAGTTCCTAAATTTTGCAATTTAGGGCTGTTTTTTATTAATACATGGTTGAATATTGAAAGTCCATTTGTAGATAGTAATTTTCAAATTTTTAAGTTTTCTAGATTTCAAGTTTGTATGTCTCAAGTATTCAAATTTTTGAGTTTTTTAGACCTGAAGTTTTCAAGTTTTCAAGTTGCTAAATTTATTAATCTGCAAACATTTAAGTTATGAAGTTTATAAATTTCCAATTAGCAAGCTTTCAATTATTTTAATTTTTCGAATTTTTTTTAATTTAATATTTTCCAAATCTTTAAATTGCAATAGATACCTAACTTCCTAGATTTAAAAAAAACTAGATTCTTAGATTTTTAGACTTTTCGATATTTTAATCTCTACATTCTTTGATCACTAAACATTACATTCCTATTATATAATCTACAAAACTAGATTCTGAAATCTCTAGAGCATACCTAAATTTCTAGACTCCTAAATTTTTGGATTCATTGTTTTTATCTTTTAAGATCCGTAGATCCCTAGACCCTACATTTTAGATTCTAGATTCCTAGACTCTGGACTTTAGACCCTAGATGCTAGACCTTAGGATCCTAAACTTTATATCTCAAGACCCTGTATCTTTAAATACCTGTACCCTTAAATCTTCAAATAACTTGATTTCTTAATATCTAGATTAGATCATCAGATCACCAGATCCCTAGATTCCCAAATTCCCCCATTTTTAGTTCTCTAAATGCTTAAATTCAAATGTCCATAGACTCATAGATTCTTCCACCCCAATCTAAGATATTTTTTTCAAAATGCTGAATTTCCAAATACCTAAATCTTGAAGTTCCTAAATCCAGGTATCTAAAAATCCCCAAATCCCCAAATTCCAAGCTCCTCAAATTTTTAAAAAATGTTCAAAGTCGTAAAATATTTTCCAAACAGCTTCGCTACAAAAATCTTCAGTTTTCACGACATACACCTTCGATCTAATATCGATCGTGTCTCCGGTATAGTTTTGTATAAGTATCTGGAAGACTTGTCAACGGAACCGCAGTCATTTTCTATCGAAATAAGATGATTCATTATTCACACAAAAATTTCAGAAGAGTTTTATTGAAACATAACACCTAGATCCGATACAGCGAGTAAGATTCATGATGGTGTCGAGATCGTGGTACTCATGTTTACACTGCGTTTCGCCGGGATACTTACAATATCCTGATCTCTTTGTTGTTCCATATAGGCCGAGAACTCGACAAGCCTGAGTTTATGGGTCGCGATGGCACGTCCTTCCCATGGCGGGGGTGGCTGAGCCTGCACCATGTCGCCGCTCGACACCGCCGTCGCTGGTTTCCCGGTGTATGCCGGTTGCGAGAACGGCTTGACATCCTGGGACGTTCCTGGTTGCAGACCCGGCTGCCAGAATTGCTGGAAAGTCGATATCTGTTTTCTTTTTGCAACGTTCCATAGCTTTTCCGCAGGAAAATTGTACGCGCGTCCCGTGAGAAGTCACTCGGAGGCGCACAGTGTGTAATTTTTAAACATATTTAAATTTATATGATTATTAGTGGACATAATTCGATTGAACAAACAAGCATTTTTTCCAGGAGACTTCTCGTGAGACACGTGCACGCTACTTGACGAGGGTTCCCAGGAAGTTAGACGATGTGAGCTTGATTATAAATAGGCATATTTTCACATCACCAATTGGTGTATAATATAAGTTCTATGTATTAGTATCGTATATGTTCTATATGACGTCACATTTGAAGCTTTCATCTGGTAACCCTGTTGGCTACTGATTGTACGAACTTTTCAAGAATCCAACATTCTATGGAACAATCATTGTGATAAGCTTTCTGCAAGATATCTACAATAAAAATTGTGAGATGTATCTATAATAAATTAATTTTTACAAATTGTTGTTAATAGATTTTACTATTGAATTTTATTGTTCTTTTCGATAAGCAGTAAAATAAATTTTTAATTTGGAAATTTATCAAGTTTGTAATTAAATGATGGAGCAAAGTTTGTTGTTTTTGGAAATCTGGAAATTAGGGAGATCAATTATATATACTAACATACTGATGTACTAATTAACAATTTGATCAAATTCTTTGTTTTTCCATTTTTTATACAAACACTTCTTCATATTATTAAATTGACAGGATTTAAATTAAATGCAGTAATAATTACAGTAATAAACAATAAAATTAAAATCAGTATAGTCAATGTAAACTAGTTCTAAACTAATTCAGTACTAGAAATACTGGAACAATATAATTCACACTGTAGTTAACGAAAAGTTCATTCAGAACCAAGCATCAGAGTTTGAAACAACAAAAACCGCAATTATTTTTGCGCCAACATAATAACAACGAATGTATATGTATTTCTCTGGATGCAAGTTAAACCGCGATATTAACAGCAGCAAAATGGTTTGTAAACAGTACGAAATGAAACATGGCAGCCATTATTTTCGTACATGCCTGAAACATATTCCTAGGAACTGTCGGATTCGTGAAAACAAGCCAAAAGTTTATTAAACGTGTTAGTTATTGTTTTCCAAAGAAGAAACGAGATGTCTTCCTGTTTGTTCGTTTCTTCCATTGACTGTGCGAATGAAAATGATTCGGAAACTTTCGAAAACAGGAAGTGATCTCAGTTTTCTCCGTGAGCCAGCGAGCCCTCGGGCGAGGAACGACCGTAGCGAAAGAAAATTAAAAAACCAACGAAAATAATAAAACGAATAAATATGAATGAACGAAACAAAAACATGTACGAACAACAAGTAAAAAAGGAAAATAATAGTAGTCGTATTACGTGAAGAGAGAAAGACAGTTTTGGTAAGCCACAACGACGTTCCACGACGTGTGTGATTATGTGTACAAAAAAAAGAAAAATAAATGACGTATATACAATATGCAAAAAAAACCCGTGTCTATATGTACGACCAGGTGATACATATATAAAAAAAGATAGAGCGACAAACAAATCGAACAATACACAACAAGGGCCCCCAGGGGCGTAGCAGCAGAGAGCAAGGGGATCTCATTTTTGTCAGGATGGTTAGTTCTTGTCACGCGTGTCTAAAAGAAAAAAAAATATGTCAAGATCCTAAATCGAAGCCTCAGAAATGCTTTTCCTTCTTCAAAAATAATAGAAAGAATTCAAATTTTGGAGAGAAAATATAAGAATGAAAGGATGAAGGAAGAGACAGAAATGTATGAAGAAGTTTAATGTGGACTGTTAACCCTTTGCGTTGACATTCAGTTGATTCGTTCATATGTTGGTTTGATAGAATTAAAAGTTGTTCCATTAAAAGAATGTTTAATTATTTAATAATTGTATACTACTAATTACATTTGCATAATTGGAATTATATGAATTATATAAATTTCTATGAATTATAATTAAAAGTAATTAAAATTATGTATAAGCTATATAAATTTACATTATATTTGAATTATAAATTTTTAACATGTTTGAATACTACATTAATTAATAGTAGTTCAATAATTATCAGATCTACTATTTATTTAAATTTGGTAAAATACAATTTTACTGTATATTATTTTATGTAATGTATTGGCAACACAGTGATACAAAGGGTTTGAGTGTGCTTTTTTAGTATATTAATTTGGTTAAAATGACATATAAATAATTTAAATAACGTGAGAACAAATGAAATTTTTGAGACATGATACCAACACAAAGGGTCGATAGTACCAAAGATCTTGATCGTCCAGGTAGTAGTAGCGTGTTCTTGGGCTTCGTAGAAAAGCTGTCGCATTAGTCGACAAAACTCTAAAAGCGATAGACTATCGATCATTTCGAAAACTATGTATATATAGCGTTGAGTCAGTTTCGACAAACCACACGATTGTGATTGGCCTATTGCAAGCGGATTAAAACGTTGGTTACAGAGGGCGAAGCGGTTAGAAAAAAAACAGATACGAGTGTCAGAGAAGAAGGCAAACCGATACACATCCTCAAGACGACGAGACACCGATCGTTCGTCCATTTCGATACCTGCCTAAAAATCTACATACATATTTTCTCCATATTAAAAAATTTCAAATGTATTACAAATATAAACAAATAACTAACATGTAGGATAAATCCTCAACCGTGTAAGTATACTTTCGCTATATTGCAACCTTTACACGCTGGTGACGTGTCTTAATTGTTAAATACTTAGAGAAATTAACATGTGATACAACATGGGTTTGAGTCATACTTCTAGACCATAGTTTCCCAAATTTTCATGATTCACTGTATTTTATACAAATTTTTTCTGTACTACTTTTATATAATAAATTAAATATTTTTGAATGCAATTTTTGCAACTTTTGAATATTAAAAATTTTGTACATGTAATTTGCAATACTATTTGTATAATCACGTAAATGTTAAGTTTGTTAATAAACAAATAATTAAATTTATATTAATTTTTGCATAATCTAATAAATTGCTTACATTATTGTATGTTTAATTAAATGAATGCTTAAGATTATATTAATGTTCATATAATTAAATATTTAAGTCTACGATATTAATGTTTACGTAATTAACTAAATATTTAAGCATATATTAACACATGTATGGTATAATAAAGCAAACACAAAATTTCATAATAATGTATGTATAATGAAGTGAACATTTAAATACATATCAATGTATGTGTAATAATGTAAATATACAATTTCATCATAATTTATGTACAAAATTAATAAATATGTATTTAAGTTTATATTAACCCTTACATAGTGAAATGTATATTCAATTCGTATAACGAAGCTAGAATTTATGTTAATTATATAAAAAATGTTTTCTAGCTATTTATATTGTCCCTAAATACTTTTGTTATTTAGTTATATCTCTAGAATCAGCAACGCCCTCTAGATCCCCCGAGCGTCATCCTCAGCGTCCATATTGGGAAACTACGTTCCAGAAATAGCAATTACACGAAAAAAACTTCCCTAAGAGATGCCTAATTTTTGAATCGGTCAAATGGATGTATCGTCGAGAAAAGCATATGGTCGAATGGTATCTTTCTCTCTTAACGCGTGTAAAACGTCGAGTGGCGTGTCTCGTCGTCTCAGCCCAAAAGCTCGTGGCTCCTTTCGAGATAGAGAAAAAAATAGGTCGCTAAAAAAAAACAAAAAGTTGTTCTATCCAAGGGGTTCCTCGTGATCGGGACTTACCGCTCCGGGATAGGAGACAGGGGTGGAAGCGTGTAGGGCAAGGGGCCCCACGAGGGCGGGGGGCATCTTGTTGTGTATCGCACTCCCAGCTGATACTATCTGGGCGCTCGACATGCTCGACATTGTCTGGAGCGCCTTCTCCTTGGCGGCATGATCCTAACAAATCGTCAAACCGATTACAACGCGTTGCGATTTTGGGATAATTAGGGAATCTAACGCAAGTAGATTCTTATTGGCTAACTTTCGAATGTTAGTCCATGTCACTGGGGCATTCGAACGAATTATTTATAAACTTTTATGAATTTTAAGACATAGGTTTGTAAGGGTCTTTTATTACGGTTTTTGATTTCCTACGAAAAATTACATTCTTGTCACAATTATGAGTTTCATGATGAATTGTAAACAGCGCAGGGATAAGTTTGATTAAGTAATACCTTGAAAAATGTATATTTGTTGATTATTTATTCATAGCAATTAAGAATAAGTTGACTGTGGATGTTGGTAGGATTAAGCTTGCAAGGATTTAGTCAAGTTTGTGAAGGTTTGATTAGGTTTGTAATGGTTTATTGGAACTGCGACACTGTTAGAAAGAGGAAAACACTGTATATAGGATGTCTCACAATTAGTGTAGGTCCCTGAAATGGGGGGCAAGTGACGTGATTCTGAATAAGATTTCCCTTTGCAAAAATGGGGTTTAAAGCTTCGTTTTTGAATCATTAAAGAAAAACACGGACTAATCAGAGCGCGAGGATTACGCGCGCTCAGCCACTAGGCTCAAAGCTGTCGCTCTCGCGTCTGCGCATGCGTAATTTTCGCGTTCTGATTGGTCCGTGTTTTTCCTTAATAATTTAAAAACGAAGCTTCAAATCCCATTTTTGCAAAGAGAAATCTTATTCAGAATCACGTCAATTTCCCCCCAATTCAGGGACCTATATTAATTGTGAGACATCCCGTATACTTAACATCCATTTGTTGTAGTAAACGGTTTGATTGTGCCTATTTGGGTTTGGTTAAGTTTGTAAGGGTTTGTTGTGGTTTCTTGAGACCAGTACATTATCTTATACAAACAATAATATATTTCTTGAATTTTATAAGAATTTTTATGTCGATTACATCATTTTACTCGAATCATGCTTAAATTTTGTATATGGTTAACACATTTGGGTTAAATAGTTCAATGATTGCAGTGGATTTGTACGAATTTAATAAAGCTTTTTGAAAACAGAAATATACATTTCTATATAGTTTCTTTCGCAAAATTAGACATTTTAATTTTATTAAATTGTTTTGCATTTATTTTTGCAGGCACTAAATCTATCCATCACTGATGTGTACCCAAACAAATAAGATAAATATCTCAATAGTCAAACGATTAAAAAAGCAATTATGATAAATCGTAATTTCTTTAATACTTGGATAATATAAAATTATAATAAAACATGTTTAATTATAATTTTATATTTATATGTTTAATATATGTAAAATTTTTGCTTTCGAATAAAATAATAAGAATCCATATTTATGAATGTGTTGATCATTAAATATTGCTGTCTCAAATATCAAACATGTATTAATTTGTTTCATCATTCAATAAAAGAAATGAAAACGGTAATATTTTGTGGAATGAGAACGTTTTATTTATAATAAATTCAATTAATTAATTCTAATTGGTTACTCCTTCTGAATTAATTTTAGCATATGAAACTTTTCACTGGTAACTTGTAACGGAGTTTCTGTTTTAAAAGCTTTTATTGTCGCACGGACATGTTTTTCTGCATAATCTTTTTTCTTTTTCTTTTCGTTTAACGTTCTGAAGAATTTATGCGACTTTATAGTGTAAGAGAAATGATTAAAAGCATATTATGGAATTTTAGGTTATGCTGACGTTATGGCGACTTTAAGAATAAGCACAATTATGTTTTCGTATAGTTATTATTAACATAAATGTAAAGAGAAAACATACTTTTTTTAATAACAATTAATTTTATTAATGTAATAAACTATGTAATAATTAACAGTGTAAGGCTAATGCGTTCAATAATTCGATACCAGGTGATATCGATTCAACTTTGCAATCTAAACAATTATGTAATTTTAATTTTCTTTACTTGAGATATTATGAAAAAAATAACTAGTCCTCCAAATCCACAAATTTTCAATTATTTAAATTCAGAAATTTGCAGAAACTCAAATTTCTATATTCGAGTTCCAAAATTGAGAATTCCAAAAATCCCGAATTTTCAGATTTCAAAATTATCAAATGTTAATGACATTTCTAAATCCCCAAATTCTTAAAAACTTACAAATTTTTTAATTTTCAAATTTTCTAAATTCTCAATTATTCAAATATTAAAAATTCTTAAATCTTCAAGATTATGAAATGGCTAAAATATTTCAACAACAAAATTATCAAAACATTTAAGTTTTCTTTCTATCTTCTTCAGGTCAACTTTCCTGATCTTGAAGTCTCAAATTTCTAAATTCTTTAAATCCACGAACTCTCAAATATCTAAATTTTTCAAATCTACAAATTTCTTTCCTAAATTTTCCAAATTCACAAATCTCCGAGATTCTTAATTTTTTAAATTCTCAAAACTCTATATTTTCAAATTTTCAAATTACACTAGTGTATTTTACCAATTAACGTATTCCCAAATTTCGACAAACTTCTAAATTCGCAAATTTTCAAACATTCAATTCACTGAATTTGAAAATCTCTAAGTCCCCAAATTTCTACTTTTCATCCTTTAATTAATATCTACGGAATCTTGCATAGAATACAGATAATTCCGTGTTGTTCCCTCTAAATTTCTATTTGACTTTCTAAATTCAGTTTTCTAGTGTAACAGAGGTCATGAGCCATTAAGAGATTCTTGGAGGATGAATATACACTTACTATCTTTTAGGTGTTACACTCAATTATGACAATGAAATGCTTTATCTATGATTTTAATAGTATTAATTGGACAATATCTGATCAGTATTAGATACTGAACTAATAAGTTACATATGGAATATTTTTGTTTGTATTGTTATGAAAGATATTTGATCCAAACTTTAATAATGTCAATAGTTTAGAGTCAGTAATTTTATTGTACTGGTAAAGGGGTAGTGAGATAGTAAGTTAAGGGGATCAGTCAATATTTCAGGATTTTTTCAATGAACATTGTTAATATAATATTGTTAAGTATCGTTGATCACAAGGTAAATCGACCAATTCACCTGTGAATCCATATGAATTATTCATTCCAATCCGTTCGTGTTTGACAATGCAATGCATAACAGGTTACCTATTGAATTATAGAAACTTATGTAAAGCTATTTTGATTAGTTACAACGTTCAAAATAATCAGAAATATTATTAACAAAATTCACTTTTAACTATTAATTATCGGAGTTCGTTCGAACACTACAAGATTTTAAATATTTCACTGATTTTTCATTTCTTTCAGAGGAAAACAGATACAGCGAAAGATTGTGGGTGTAAAACGTACTGAGTGAAATTAGGATACGTTGTAAGGAATGATGAAGGGAAAGAGGGTCGAGTTCAAAGAGTTATAATAGATTATCTATTGAATTATAGAAACTTATAATTATACGCAAGGCTTTAATTTAAATGTTCAAAATAATTAGAAATCTTACTATTATCAAAATTACTACTTGATTGTTAACCAGTTAAGCGTGTTTGACGACTATATCCGTCATAAAGATGTGGCAGAATTTTATGTCATGACAACTATATCCGTCATGCGTAAAATTTTGTTACAATTTGATATTTAAATTGTAATTTTGGCGAAAACTTTAAATAATTTTGTTACAATTTGATATTTAAATTGTAATTTTGGCGAAAACTAAATTATATTCGTAAATTGTAATATGTTTAAAATGTTTGGAGGTCAACATGAAATGAAATAAGCTAACTCGTCATCGCTTGGATATCGCGACACACACTGGTGCGTGCTTTACAAAAAGATCGCCACAGTTAACTGGTTAATTACCGGGACTCGTTCGAGCATTAGACATTTATTTAATTTTATTTCATCGTCTAAAAATTACGTATAACAAACATGTGCAAACAAGTACCCTTAAGCAAATCTCATCGAATCAAGCCGCTGGAATTAAATCGATAGAGAAATCCTCTTCGTTGTTTGCATAATATTGTTATCGCCATTCGATTTCCTCTCTCATTATACCGTCGCTGTTTTCAGCTGTGCCGGCGGTCGATGTCATCGATCGTTATCGATAAAACGGCAATGCAGTTGATTGCAGAAACAAGGCTCTGGTTTTCGACGAAATTCACCGAAATTTTGTGCTTTTATCGGAAAGCCGTCGTTTTAATCAGAGCCTCCCCTGCCCCGGCTGAAAATCGCTGACGAAGCAAATGAAAGCTTCGTTGTTCCCATGATATCCGGAAAATTGGCATGTCCTCCACCCTTTTCTCCCTCACCCTCACTTCCCCTCCCCCCTCCTCACGGCTACAAGGCTTTTCAATTTCGTTCATAAATCCGTAATGGAATAGCCATTACACGTTCTGCCGTTTGGAATGAACCATGCCGCGTAACAATACCGGCGATAAAAAAAAAGGATTTGTCTGCATCGAAAAAGTGTGAACCTTTGTCATCCTTTCTATCGTTCCTCTCCGTTATTGTTCGTAAACGAATATTACTTTTTTCGAATAGTCTTTAATCGGTTAACTTTCTTTTGAGCATTTTGGTCGATCAGAAAACTCGTTAGTACATTGAATAGTAGTATGTATCAATAATGAGGACACCTAATGTTTCCTTGCTTATACGCTTATGACGAAAGTAGGGCAATTCCATGTAAACAAGCATGTGTTTTTGGGTCAGTGTCAGACGATAATCTTTCAAAGATTAGCAATAGAATTATAAATGCATAAATACTTTTTGGGTAAATATTTAGAATAAGGGAACCACCTACGATTTCGATCACCTTGAAATATCTTATGAAGGTCAACACTTTATATCTAAAATATTTCACATTGTAGACGTTTTATTGTTTGACGAATTACATTCTTTTAATACAAATAATTCAACAATTCGTCTTGTTTTGTGGTAAAATTTCATTTTAGAGAATTAATATTTATTGTACGTTGTTATAAGTAGTCGTACACTGTTCGCGAAATACAAGAAATGTCA